CATAATATTCTAGTGACAAACCAGCACACAATAATTTTTTATTATTCTAATGACAAACCAGCACACAATAAATTTTTATTATTCTAGTGACAAACCAGCACATAATAAATTTTTAATATTCTAGTGACAAACCAGCACACAATAAATTTTTAATATTCTAGTGACAAACCAGCACACAATAAATTTTTAATATTCCAGTGACAAACCAGCACACAATAAATTTTTGATATTCCAGTGACAAACCAGCACACAATAATTTTTTATTATTCTAGTGACAAACCAGCACACAATAAATTTTTGATATTCCAGTGACAAACCAGCACACAATAAATTTTTGATATTCCAGTGACAAACCAGCACACAATAATTTTTTATTATTCTAGTGACAAACCAGCACACAATAAATTTTTGATATTCCAGTGACAAACCAGCACACAATAAATTTTTGATATTCCAGTGACAAACCAGCACACAATAATTTTTTATTATTCTAGTGACAAACCAGCACACAATCATTTTTTGATATTCCAGTGACAAACCAGCACACAATAATTTTTTATTATTCTAGTGACAAACCAGCACACAATATTAATCCTTGCTTATTCTATATTTTCATGCCTAGTTTTTATACCACAGTATCCCTTAGTTACTTTTTGCTATTGAATCTGACTTTTGTTCTATTATATTTACTAAGTGACATGTTATTCATACTACAGGAAATAGTTGCTATGTAAAATCAAAGAAAAGCAAAGTTGCCAACCCTGTGATCATATTAGCTAAAAAATTCACATGTGTTAAATCTAGAAGAAAAAAAAACAACTTTTTTATGTGAAATTGTTTATTGGTGCATAAAGCATGTGGAAACCAAAAAAAAATATACTCATATGGAAGTTTATAGTTTTATCCAAGACAGAAAAGAAAAAAGAAAAAAATCCTATGGGATGACGTGTACATTGAGATTATTGTTGGCAGAATTTAAAAACAATAACAGAATTTTGTCAACAGGATCTTGGAGAAAGCACCAAAAGCCTTCATGTTTTTATTTAGGATTGATAAGTCAGCATTTAGCCTTTAGGATTGGTCATTTACAGAATTTAGAGTTTGATCGTTTACAAAATTTAAAGCTAGCTTGTCCTTAACCTTGTGACATTGACATAATGGTCCTGTCTTGTTTTTATATGTTTGTTTATTATATTATAATTTCTGGTAGCTGTATATGTATTGTAATGGTTTCTAGTATGTTAAGATGACCTAAATTGATTTCTTACAAGGTGGTGGTTGGGGTGGAGGAGGTAAAACCATTTTATTTTGTCAGTGTGCTTATACATATTCACTGCTTCCACTTATGTTTAGTTAAAAGTTTGGTATTTTTTTTTGTGATAAATTTTGAAAATAAGTGTGATATGACTTGGTACCCATTGTCCTATTGAAGTTATTGCACCTCAAACTTCAACATTTTTCTAGAGAGCACATCATCTGTAAGGATTTTTGTTGGAGTGATGTGTGGACCTATTGTTTATTTATATGTATATATTTTGTTGCCACAAGATGTTTGCACTGTAATATAAGTAGAACTGGATGTTATCATTAGAATACCTGAATGTGTATCGTTGTATAGTATATCTCGCTTAAATTAAAGTAACTTTGCTGACCAACCATCAATCTACCTGACCACATTCATCTTTTTGTGGTCATTACAGTGACATAGTGACAAAGATTTGATGCCATTCCAAATTACACTTCAATCTAATGATTCTGTTCTGCTGATTTATTTTTGAAAAGTCCTATATTTAACAAAACATTTGTATGACGAGATATACTTTACACATGAAAACAAGTGTTTAATATGTTTTGAAATTGTAAAATATTATCCTGGGTCTTAAAATATCAGTAATGAAAAGTTTTCTGTTAGCTGTTGACAAGACTGTTGTCAAGGGAATGCGTAAGTGAAGTATTCATTTTTATTTCATCTCCTTATGTAGACTGCAGGCATTGCAGTGGAATCCTTTGCTTAAAGCAGGTGGTTCAGTGATTTGATTTCTTTTAATCAGGGTGATACAGTTGTCTCCCTTGGCCCTAGTGGAGTGATACAGTTGTCTCCCTTGGCCCTAGTAAAGTGATGCAGTTTTCTGTCTCTGCCCTCTGGTTTGTAATGGGGTATGAATACGATAATCCTCGAACAAAGTAGCCCCTTATGCTTCTAAAGGCAGTAATGTGGTGGTTTATGGAGCTCCTAGAGGGGTGATGTAATTATCTATTGTGTCCCTAGATTGGGGATGTAGCATATGGTCTATAGGGTTCAGTGATATTATTAGTTCAAGTTCAAGGAGGGATATATGTTGGTTAATAGGGTTTTAGATGGGTGATGTAGTGGTCTATAGGTTTTTAGATGGGTGATGTAGTGGTCTATAGGTTTTTAGATGGGTGATGTAGTGGTCTATAGGTTTTTAGATGGGTGATGTAGTGGTCTATAGGGTTTTAGATGGGTGATGTAGTGGTCTATAGGGTTTTAGATGGGTGATGTAGTGGTCTATAGGTTTTTAGATGGGTGATGTAGTGGTCTATAGGGTTTTAGATGGGTGATGTAGTGGTCTATAGGTTTTTAGATGGGTGATGTAGTGGTCTATAGGGTTTTAGATGGGTGATGTAGTGGTCTATAGGGTTTTAGATGGGTGATGTAGTGGTCTATAGGTTTTTAGATGGGTGATGTAGTGGTCTATAGGGTTTTAGATGGGTGATGTAGTGGTCTATAGGGTTTTAGATTGGTGATGTAGTGGTCTATAGGTTTTTAGATTGGTGATGTAGTGGTCTATAGGGTTTTAGATGGGTGATGTAGTGGTCTATTGGGTTTTAGATGGGTGATGTAGTGGTCTATAGGGTTTTAGATGGGTGATGTAGTGGTCTATAGGGTTTTAGATGGGTGATGTAGTGGTCTATAGGGTTTTAGATGGGTGATGTAGTGGTCTATAGGGTTTTAGATTGGTGATGTAGTGGTCTATAGGGTTTTAGATTGGTGATGTAGTGGTCTATAGGGTTTTAGATGGGTGATGTAGTGGTCTATAGGGTTTTAGATGGGTGATGTAGTGGTCTATAGGGTTTTAGATGGGTGATGTAGTGGTCTATAGGGTTTTAGATGGGTGATGTAGTGGTCTATAGGGTTTTAGATGGGTGATGTAGTGGTCTATAGGGTTTTAGATTGGTGATGTAGTGGTCTATAGGGTTTTAGATTGGTGATGTAGTGGTCTATAGGGTTTTAGATTGGTGATGTAGTGGTCTATAGGGTTTTAGATTGGTGATGTAGTGGTCTATAGGGTTTTAGATGGGTGATGTAGTGGTCTATAGGGTTTTAGATGGGTGATGTATTGGCCTGTAGAATTTCTAGATGGGTAATGGTCTTTGGGGTTAGCTGTTGACAAAACTGTTGTAAATGGAATGCATCCGTGAAGTAATCAATTTTATTTCTTCTCTTATGTAGACTGCAGGCATTGCAGTGGAATCCTTTGCTTAAAGCAGGTGGTTCAGTGATTTGATTTCTTCTAATCAGGGTGATACAGTTGTCTCCCTTGGCCCAAGTGGAGTGATACAGTTGTCTCCCTTGGTCCATGTGGAGTGATACAGTTGTCTCCCTTGGCCCTTGTGGAGTGATACAGTTGTCTCCCTTTCTTTTGTATATATAGGTTTGTAATGGGATGTTTATAGGAGACTTAGAGAAAAGTAGCCCAGTGTGATTTTTCCCTGCATAGAAATCCAGCTTTTTAATATTTCTGAAAAGAACCTCAGGTTGGTGGTGGTTATAGCTGTTTTCCTACACCCAAAGTTATGATTGGAGGGTTTGCTTTGTAAGGTATAAGTCAATTATAGAGTATAAATATCATCTGTGATTCATTGCTTTCTGTATCAAGGTGACAGACAGAAATATTTACAAGCTTCCTCAAAAATGCTATCAACAAATGTAGAAAGTAATTGAGTATAGATATATATTTAGGTGTCTGAATGTTATAAAAGTGTACAATTATTTACGGAGTGTGATACTTTACCATAATCACTGGACATTGGTAGCAGATGTGTTACTTATTAGTGTATGACTCATAGGTCACCCTCTGACGGCAGCCGTCAATATAAATGGTGGCTCTACTCCCAGCAACAGTGTCACTAATGCCGCTACCACCAATGCCGCCACAAAGCTTGCCGCGCTCGCAGGTATGAAGGACTGGGTATCCCTGCCTGTGCCTGCTGCCCACCTGTAGGACCGATCACATGTGCATTGTGTTTTTCTTACAGCGCCACAGTCACATTTAAAGGACAGTTGTATCAGTCATTGGGATTATACTTGCCTTGTGGCTGAAGCATAAAGTATATGGAACTTCTTTGACTACCTTGCTTCACTAGTATGTAGAAGATGTGGCTCAATCCTAACATATTGTATCTACTATGATACTGTTGCTAGAGTCATTACCATACATATTTAATAAATTTAACAGATGATCAAATGTATGTGTTTTGTCCAAACCTGCTCACATGGCTGTCCTCCAGTCATTTATTAACAAAGTAATGAATCATCATGAAGTAATTGCAGAACTTCATTAATGTATTAATTCATTTGTTTTCAGATACTACATTGTATTCTTGATTTATCAGACCAACATCTTATTGGTTACTTGTTTTTACACTGAACTTGTGTTAACTGTCTGTGACAGCGAACAAATTTGTCAAGTCATTCATTCATCAACACTTCAGTACTAAACATGGAAATCTGCATGAACCTGGTACTTGATTGTTTTAGAGAATGATGTTAGAAGCAGACAGAAGGTAGTCATCTAAAGTAAAATGTCAACATTAAGATTAGCACATATCCTCTGTGTTTAATCTAATAAGCAAGCTTATTTGTGGACAAATGTGTATGATTAGCATTAAAAGCATGCAAGACTAAGTGTGTTGATCACAGTTGCTTAGTTTTCGCTGCAGTCTGTACAACTTGCTCTATATCTCCTGGACTTCAGGTCAAGCATTGCCAGTCACAGCCAAAGTCAACGGTGCAGCAGCTAATGGCAACATGGCAGCAAAACTTGCATCCTCTCTTGTAGTAGATTCTGGAAAACAGGCAGTTCCAATTAGAGATCCACACATGGAACAAGCAACAGCACTGAAAGATGCTGCATTTGATAAAAAGGACAGGCCCAAGAGTCCATTTGGATTGACTGGTGAATCCAAAGGTACTGCCAAGTTTCCATTCACAACACCTGAAGTGACTAAAGAGTCCGCAACAATGGCATCAATACTGTTTGGTCAGCCTAAGAAAGAGCCATCCAACTTCCTTGCTGCTTTGGTCTCTGGCCAAGCCAAACAGGAAGTCTCCAAAAGTATTGCAGTGTTAACAGGACCAGAAAAAAGTCCAAAACCTGTCCCTCCTGCTTCTGTAGCTGGGCAAAGTCAACTTGAGGACTCCATGATAACCAGCGGTGTGATGGGTGGTGGTAAGGAGGGAATGGTTTCAGAATGACCAGTGGTCCCAGCTTTTCCCCTCTCTGCCTGTTGTCCCGTTGCTGGTTCCGATGAATACTTGGTTATGGTCACATGTGGCCATATATGTTGCCTTTCCATGCTAGACCTACTAACTGGCACATTAGTTTGATCTGTTTGTTAAACTCCAAAAATAAAATACTATATATTTGTCATTTCAGTCTTTATCTTTTGTCACCTTTGTGACCTTCATTCTTTAACCTTTTCGACACTCTGTCTATTGTTTCCCACCTTGAGTCTTCATTATTTAAGACCTTCATTCTTCCTCATTTGTAACCTTCAGTGTCATCCTTTGTGACCTTCAATCTTTATCCTTTGTGGCCCCAATATTCATCCTTGGTGACCTTCATTCCACATTATTTGTTACCTCAAGTCTTTATCCTTTGTGATTATGACCTTCATTCTTATTGTTTGTGACCTTCAACCCAGTCAGAGTGGCCTTATAACCTTCAAACTTTTGTGACTTTCAATAATCAGTGTAGCTTTAATCAAGTTATTTTAAAAACCCTATGGATGTGGCTTTTCAGAATTACAGTCTTCCACTTAAACAACCCACTAATACTCAAATATGTTTGTGTATGTGGATAGCAAAATTTGGAGCTGACATTTCTTGCTGGTCTCATGCATGCAAGATACTTAAATCAGATTGGAATTTGTGTTCATTTTTACTGATATGTTTAACTTAAATGTTTGGGTTGTTACAGTAAGTATAGTAAGGTTTGCTGATTGGTAATTGTGCTTGCTGATGATCCTGTCCCATACTCTGTATTGGCCATGTTAATGTATGTGTTTTTACTGACCCAGGTCAAGTGGTACCAGTAGTCAGTAGTCCTAATGACTCGGCAGTGACTGACATGGCCTTGGGTAAGGTCTAGTGTTCAATCCCAGCAGTCACCATCCTCCCCTTGTTGGGCCTGATTCACCACAACTATTCTATTAGGACTATTCTGTTGAGACTAATTCAGGACTAGACCTTTCACTATCTTATGTAGTAACAACAAGATAAGTGGAGTCACAATTAATTGTGTGTTGTGAGTTTGCATTGCAGTGGACTGTTTTTGCTGTGATGAAGTGACCTGGTTGGTCGAAAGTAATTTTCTTCAATCTCTGGACTTTTGAAAGTCCTAATTTCTTTACTGGATCGCAGGACTTCATTTTCTTGCAAAGCTGCTTCTGAAATCATGTACAGGAAATTGAAATAATAATTTGAATTTAATTGTTGACTGAATGAAACAAAATTAATCCAACTCCCAAACTTTGTGTGAAGTTTGCTATATTCTGTAATGTGATGGCTGATTTTTGAACCAGAGTTTTGAGTGAGATATTGCTTATGAATAAATATTAACTGCTGTCATTGAAATGATTTGTGATTATATGGTGTGCTGTGCTGTACAATATAATTGTTTTACCTGACTGGGCTATCACACATCAGCACATTGGGCATTCTCATTATATCTATAGTTTAATGTCTGTCTTAGAAATTCAGCACTATACAAGATTCATTTCCTTAAGTTTTCAGCATGAAAAAATTCCTTTCAAAGAAATTGAATATTTGAATAAGACCTTTTATCATCAATTCTGATGACGTGTTTTTTGTTTGTTGAAAGCTTTATAGAAATGTGTGATTTATGTGGGGGAAAATATGTATACTGAACATTCTTTGGGAAGTGTTTTTTTTTAAGTTTTTGAGGGTTTTTTGTACAGACTCCATACAAAATTTACTCTTCATATTAAAAAAATGAGGAAACAATGACCTCACCTTTCACATACTTTCTGGAAGAAGTATTACCCATGTGTGCGTATGATTAGCTGAGTCAGGACATCACCATACCTGTGTGGTTCACCTGTGTGACTTCTGTAGCTAACACAGACTCACACATCATCCTATCGAAGAGTGTGTGTTTGTAAACTCAAATGATCATTGCCATGCACTTAGGCAACAGTTGTCCTAACTTACAATAACTTGTCATCCTTATATGTAACAATCTACAAATGTCATAACAAATGTTAATATGTTTAAATCATTTAACAGAATGATGCTGGAAACTTATAATTATTTTTGTATTTCTACTACTTTAATTTTATGTCTTTTACTATTGTTTTGTAGTTAGAGATTTGTTGATATTTTTTGCATATTTTCAATCTTGTTATCTCTTCTTTTGCTTAAATTGCTAGTTAAAATGCTTTGGGTGATGTTCCCTGACAGAGGGACTACTGTTTGGTTTCAATCTTCAGAACAATAGAAGTGGCCTCTCATCAATAATCATACTATTAAAATTGAACAGATAAGGATTAAAATTGATACATACATGTTCATAATTTTTCAGATTTTCAGAAATGTTTTTTCACTGCAATATTTTCATGTCTGATTATACAGACTTAATGGAACATTAGTTCCCATCCACAATTGATTAAAAGAAGAACTAGATGAGTTTAAATGACTTATTGTTGCTTAACAAAGCTTTATTAAACAGTCGTGTATTTTACACTACATGGTTTTGTGTATCAGATATAATAGTATCAGATATAATAGTTTTCAGTAGAAATTTTTATTTACAGCTTCACCTTCAGTTGCGATCATTGAATAATAGCTGAGATGTTCTTTCTCACAGGCCGTAGTTTGATGGCAAAGAAGAATGATGGAATCAAAGAATCCACTGACAGTTCAGCTACTATTGATGAATCTGATGACACCAAAGGTATGTACTGTGGGAAATACCTGGTCAAATATAGTAATAAGTAAGAGAGTATCACCGAGGCAAACATGAAAGGTTTGCCACCATGTGGAAATAAATCAATAATAAATGTTGATTCAAGCCAGTGAAATGATTGTCACAGCTTATAAATGTTAGACTCATATATGGACAAACTTGTAGAAGAAAACATTGGGTGAAGTAGGGGGGAATACATATTTCTGAGTTGGGCAGAAGAAAACAGCTCTTCAGTAAAGATGAGGATAGATAGAAAGATATGTGTCCTGAACTAGGTGGGTGACTGGGATGGTTGTGTAAATTGATTGTCATTTGCTAGATGGTCGTTTGATATGAGTGATCAACCTGGCATTATTGGAGAGACGCCAGATCATAAATAAACATTTGGCGAAAAAACTTTTGACAAATGTGAAAGTTCAAAGGAAGGCAGTTTGACAAGTAAAATTTTCAGTGAAGTGTCATTGATGGGCTTTTCCATGCACATAGTCGGTTCAAGATTGTATTGTAGTTAGTGGTATAGGTTATCTTGGAGGTTCATGAAAAGGGAATTTCAAGTCCAGAAAAAAGGTGAGAAGGAATACTGATATTAGATATATTGGTACACTTGATAATGTAATTACTAGGGAGAATTGAAACAGACAAACAAGGCAGATGTTTTGGTCATTTTATACCTATTTATTGTTTTTGCCTGCAATCTTCCAAGTAGGAAAAAGCGATATGGACAGTGAGTATGGCTGCTTGATTATGGCGCCTTGCCTGTTTACTGTAATATTTAATATTTAGATACTGTGTAGTGTATCTCTCACTCACCATCACTCTGGTCAGTACTGGGCACTACCCAGCATTGTCCAGCAAACTATTCTAAAACTGACCAATGGAGAAGAAAGGAGTCCGACTGTAAATGTTGAATCAAGTGTAATATCGGCTCACTTGATTTGTTTTGTTTTGTTAGCACCATTGTTGGTACATATACACCACATATATAACAACTGTTGTATGTGGCTTGTGCATGCTCCAGTATAACATTTGATGGAGAAAGTAATCCAAAAGACCTACCAAACTCTTCTCAAGTTTTCTTTTGTTGATTTATTAACTCTGTTTACAATGTGCAGCAAATGTTGTCTAATTCTGTGATTCTACTCTCTCCACTGTAAACATCTTCCTAGAACATTCTGTTATTGATATTCCCCGATCCCCTAGTTGTCTGATGATGCCCATAGGTTCTGATTTGTGATCCCTCTTTTGATTCTTTGACCCTTCGTTTGAAATCACTGATCTTTTTCATCACATAGATGGTCTGTTTACAATTCTATACAATTACAGTATTCGATTGTACTTTGGTTTCCCTAAGACTGCCCTCCAGCCCAGAATGTATCACAACTGTCACTGGCTGACATGGTTTCTTTACCGTTTCTCATTCAAGGGTATAAAATAAGATGTTGCCTTCAGATAAAAATAAAGATTGAAAAATGATTACACAAAACTCTGCGCTTCACAATTTCTGTTATTTAAAAAAGATTTGATAATTTAAGGAATTTTTTGTTGATATCAATGAAGTATAACACGTTGGTGTTAAGGCTCACCAAACCTATAGAAACACTAGATGCATGACTGTTGTTAAGCCAGCACTGTCATGAAATGCCTGCAGCCTGTGTATGACATTAGTATGTACAAAATCTGTTTGCATTACCATCACTTAAGTATTTCAGTTAAACTACATATGGAGTTTGTGGCATTATAGAGTTCTCAGAAATAAATTCACAATATATATATAATCCTGTGTATAAAAGTATTGTGTACACTCTTGTTATTGTTATAGATGTTCTCACCACAACCATCAAAATCACAGCAGTGTACAATATTAAAGCAATTCATTCTGTTGCCTGCATTGAAATGCTAGTATATAACTGTTCTAAGTTTCTTAACCTTTTTGTCACGATAAGCAAATTTACGACATGTGTAGTTGTGTTGAAAATTGTTTTCAATAGTCAACCAGCAATCTGAAAAAAATTAGGAGAAAGTAATATAATCTCTTTGTACCATAATTTTCATCAGAATTAATCAAATAAAATCTTATAGTAAGTATTACTTGTAAACTTGTTAAAGACAATTACTGTGATTTGATTTATAATATTATGGAACAAGTCTACCTTCACAGCTTAAATTGGATCTTATTAGTAGACTCTTTTTTCATGTTTTAAATCTTGAAGATTAGATTTATTTTATAAAGCAAATTGATGTGTTTAGATTTGTGTTGTGTTTGTTCATGTCCTGTTGTAGTGATGTCCTTTTAGTTTTGTCACATTAAGGAAAGGTGTGGTACCAGTATATGATGGCCAGAACCAGCATATAATGGCCAAGTTTTATTTTTAAAAATTCATAATTGTTGATGCCTTGTATCCGCAACAAAAATGATAAAAGTTTCCAAACGGTGCTGAAGTTAAAGGTCAAGGTCAAATTTGGCGTTTTTGAACTGGTATACATTTAGTTATGATATTTCGTTGTAGTCATATTATAAGTCATCTGACCACATGCCAAGGAGAACAGTTTTTTATTAATGATATAGAAGATATGTCTTGTGAATCTTGAGAGCAATAAGGTTGACACAAGGTTAGGGAGTATGTAAAAGTATATAACTTTTCAGATAATACCAATCCTTTATAAATATTTCAAGAAATGTTGGTTGTTTGTTTGGATATAAGTCACACCTGGCAATATAAATGATATCTGTGTTGTGGTATTGTTATGTGTTGCTGTAGAGTGCTACTTGTGTTGGAGCATGGTACCAATAGAGGTAGGATTTCTGTGACTGGTCTGTTGGGTTTTCTCTTCACTTCTTTTTATCTGTATTTGTGTGTAGATATATTTTCAGAAATTATTTCCAATCAATTTCACAGACAATCAAAATTAGTATTTGAAATTATAAAGCAAATTATTATGAAAAGTGTTGAATTTCTGTACAAATATTTACAAAAGTATAAAGTTATGCAGTTTACTATGAAAAATTAAAGTTTAATGCATTTGTAAAGGGGAACATATTTCAATTTGATAGAATTATAAATACACATACTAGTAATTAATGATATTTAAGTGCTATTAAGTATGATAGCTTAAGTTAGATACGTTTTACTGGTCTAGATAACACTCCAACAGATAATATCCATCGCAAGGCTGAGAGAAGACCTGTAATCGGAAAGCATGTGTTAAAGTTCTCTTTCCTTTGAGCTCTCCAGCTTTTTAGTTGGCTGACCAGTGTTTGTAAGATGATATGATTTTATTTGTGACATCATCACTACAGGGGGCATCACTCTGACAGAATTGCAGATTAATGAGTCTTCTACTGAACCTCACAAAACGCCGTGTAAGTAACAGCGTTTTGTTTGATGCACTTCCCCTCCATATTTTCAATTCAAATGAAGGACTTTTTGTTTGAATGCCCAAATCCACAACCAAAACATATCCTTGACCAACATAGAATACAAGCTGTACTTACTCCCAGAAGTGGCATGTCCCCCTTATCCTGTATCCATATCAACATTAGAAGAAAATCCAATTTCACCTTTAATAAGATTTCATATAGAAATTTTCTGCAGGTTTTTAATTGTTGTGTATATTGTTTTGATTTTGTCTAGTTCTCTTGTCCTTGTAGATCATCCCTCTGGTGATGTGTTTTTGTATTTACGTTTGCCATTAGACCCTCCTCTAGATGATAAGACTATTTGCCAGTAATCTGTCCCTAGGGTAATATGGCTGTTGTAAGTAGGCTGTCCCCTGGGTGATATGATATTGTGTTAGTAGATTGTCCCCTGGGTGATATGACATTTTGTCTGTAGACAGCCCCCTGGGTGATATGATATTGTGTTAGTAGACTGTACCCTGGGTGATATGACATTTTATCTGTAGACTGTACCCTGGGTGATATGACATTTTATTTGTAGACTGTCCCCTGGGTGATATGACAGTTTGTCTGTAGACTGTACCCTGGGTGATATGACATTATATCTGTAGATTGTCCCCTGGGTGATATGACAGTTTGTCTGTAGACTGTACCCTAGGTGATATGATATTGTGTTAGTAGACTGTCCTGTCGGTGATGTGCCTGGTATCTGTTTATCACTTATGTGTAGGTTTAATAGTGATAGGCTCACGAAAGACTATTACTTGGATTTTTAGCTCACCTGGCCCAAAGGGCAGCGTCAGTCATTTGTCAGTTTTTCCCATAAATCGCTACTAGTCATAAACATCTGACCGGATTCTACCCAGATTTGGTCTAAAGAGCATGCTTGGGGGAAGGGGAAGGAATTTATGTGTTAACCTTGGGTCTAGGCCCCCTTAGGCCTGAGGGGCTGGGCCCAATCTGGAAAGTTTATCAATTTCTTTAAGATTTGTCTTGTTCTTTAATAATGGCAGGATATTGCCTAAATCTGGTCTGAAGCATGCTTCGGTGAAGGGAAGTCAGTTTTACCTAAACAGTAGATTTTGGCCTCCTGAGGCCAGATTGGAGGGGCCCAATGGGGGAAAATAAAGCAAATTCTTTAATATGCTTCTTCTGTAGGAATATCTGGATGTTGTCCCAATTTAGCAAAATAAACCAGTTGAACAATTCAGGCCTTATGGGGGGAGGGGTTTGAGGTGGTTCATCTTTTTTGTATGCACATGTATGTTTTTGTAGATTCAAGCATGATTTGATATTTGAAAAACCTCATTGCTTGTAGATTTATGGAAATATTTAAAGGATATAAACCCTCATGTGTTATCAGCTACTGCTAAGAAAGAAAAAGGCAAAATAAATTAACTTGTTAACATTTCCATATATAATGGTATGTTCACTACATGCATATTTTACCAATTGAAGATAATTTGATCAAACAAAAGACCGATATTTCCTTGCTGTATTCAAAATTTGAGTCAAAATTGATGTTGTACCAGCGCTGCGTTTTGTTACTCCTGTGGTCTCTACCATGGCTATGTTGTCTGATGTGCTGTGTTGTGGATACTCCTTTTATAACCTGGCCCAAATTTGCTCCTGAACAAGTTTGATAAGGTCTCTACTGTAACATGATGGACTATTCATAGGTCTGCACTGTCAAGGTTTGTTACGTAAAAAGAAAAAATTACTAGTTCATCCAGGATTCACTTCTTGCAACTGACTCAGAACATTTCGAACAAGAAGTTGACCTTACTCTTGACTCATTACCCCTAATATGGTCTTTATTACTTCCATGTGCAAGCTTTCTTATTCTTCTCTTAAGTGCTGTACATCATCTTTTGCACTCTTGCCTAGTGCTCTGCTTGATACCATTATTACCTAGGTTACTAGTAGAAGAAAGACAAGGTAGGCCACAACACTGTGCCAGTTTTGTGTTAAGGGTAAGTCCTGGTTTTTGGTCAAGGCTTGCCTTTGTGAGAGGTAGGTGATGAAGAAGTCCACAAAGCTTGCATCTCTTCATTCTGGTACAGGTTACACAGCAAAGATGCTCCACAATCAAAGATAAAGCAAGACTATCCCTCCTTTTTCAGACTTAGGTCACAAACATCCTCTACAAGGCTACGCAACACTGTCTGGACATTTGTTCCAGATTATGCTGCAAAGATCACCCCTAAGATGCTTTAGCAAAGCTCTCTCTGCTTTGGTCCAGCTTAGGCCGCAAAGATTACCCCCAAAGATGCTTTAGCAAAGCTCTCTCTGCAATGGTCCAGGTTAGGTCACAAAAATCACCAAAAAGGCTAAGCTAAGCTCTCCTTGCATTAGTCCAGGTTAAGCCACAAAGATCACCTGCAAGGCTGTAGCAATTAGTTCTCCCTGCTTTGGTACAGGTTGCGCCGCGAAGATCACTCACAAGGCTAATCAAAAATCTCCCTGCTTTGGTCCAGGTTACGCAATGAAGATCACCTGTAAGGCTTAGCAATTAGTGTTCCCTGCTTTGGTCCAGCTTAGGCCACAAGGCTTGCTTTAGCAAAGCTCTCTGCTTTGGTCCAGGTTATGTGACAAAATTCACCAAAAAGACTAAGCCAAGCTCTCCTTGCGTTAGTCCAGGTTAAGCCACAAAGACCTCCCACAAGGCTAAGCCAAATTCTCCCTGCTTTGGTCCAGGTTAAGCTACAAAGATCACCTGCAAGGCTTTAGCAATTAGTTCTCCTTGCTTTGGTCCAGGTTATGCAACAAAGACCTCCCACAAGGCTAAGCCAAATTCTTCCTGCTTTGGTCCATGTTACTCCACTAAGATCACCTGCAAGGCTTTAGCAATTAGTTCTCCTTGCCTTGGTACAGGTTATGCCACAAGGCTAAGCCAAGCTCTCCCTGCTTTGGTATAAGTTACTCCACAAAGATCACCTGCAAGGCTTTAGCAATTAGTTCTCCCTACTTTGGTCCAGGTTATGCAACAAAGATCACTCATAAGGCTAAGCCAAGCTCTCCCTGGTTTGGTACAGGTTATGACATGAAATTTACTCACAAGGCAAAGCTTTGGGCTAGGTAAGCTGCAGAGATCACCCACAAGGCTTAGTAAAATTCTCTTCTGCTTTGGTCCACCATAGGACACAAAGACCTCCTTCTCAGCTAAGCATGGCCCCTTCTGCTTACGATTTAGGCTACTCTAAAAGATCCTCCATTAGGCTCAGAATAAGTCCATTAAACTATCAGTCGATTCGTCCAGGTTAAGCCACCAAAATTTTCCATTCCGTCACAAGGTTGTGCCTGTTTTTGGTCTTGCTGCAGTAGAGTTTGGCTATTTGGTGGTATCATTTTGACTTCTGTGAAAAATATGGTTTTCATTATCCTTGATTTTTCTCTGTTTGATGCCTCCAATCAGAATCTATTGAACTGTAGAAAGGGACTTGAAACCATTTCTATTTGAAACAGGAAATGTAGGTGTGTGTTGGTGTTAGCTTAGTAGACTTGGGTGTGGTTCCTACTGAAGTAAGTACCAGTACAGGGTTGGATTACATACAAGTAAGTATGTATATAAGATGTGGCCATCTATAGATAGAGTCTGGCCAAACTTTTAAGGGTGTAGCTGAGCATTGGTAAGTAGCTTTAGGGTTTGATTGAATATAAGTTAACATCTTAAAGATTTGGCTGGACTTTGGTAAGTATATTTAGGGTTTGGTTGAACTTTTGTAAGTATATCTAGGGCTTGACTGATCTTTGGTAAATATATATAGGGTTTAACTGGACTTTGATAAACATATATAGAGTTTGGTAAAAATATAGGAAACTTCTCTAAGGTTTGAATGAGCTTTGTTTTCAGTAAGCATCTGTTTGGTTTGATTGAACTTGTTGAGGATTTGGTAGAACTTTGGTAAGCCTCTTGAGGGTTTAACCAAACTTTTCTTAGCCTATGCAGCATTTGGTCGATAATTGGTAAGTATGTGTAGGGTTTTGCTGACTTTGGGTACTGGTAAGTATCTGAATGGTTTGGTCAAACTTTGGTAAGTTTCTGCAAAGTGTGGTCATATATTGTTAAGCATATATAGGTAGTGTGTGACAGTAGAATAGACTGTATAATAGAATTGTAAAAATGAAATCTTATTGGAGCAGCATTGTTCAGACAAATGTTGGCCCACTTAAAGTATACTGACTCTGTATAACCCCACATAAGAGGATGCAGGGTTGACATACTTCCTTGAAGGAAAAAATTGTGGAATAAAATATTAATGTTTAAAACATTTTCACTATACCTTGTTATACCTACAAACAATAAACCATAATAAGTGTTTGTTGAATGACATGAATATACCAGTAAATATTTGATTCCTAGATTGTTGTCACTACTGGAACATATCTCTAGAATGAAGTCATTTCTTGGTCGTGATGTAATTCATTGTATCATTGTACAAATATACTGACTCTGTGCATCCCTGAGCTAGAGAGATTATATAATTCAGTTAATCTATGATTGGAGGTGCTGCAACCTTTTATAGTATTCACATCCTAGCTCCAGTGGTAGGTGAAAAATTAGGCTCAGCACACATTCTCTCTTCAGTTAATTATGTATTATGTTCCCTTTGGTTGACAGGTAGAAAACAGGATGTGATCAAACTCACTGAGCAGCTGATAGCAGCAATAACTAGTGGCGATTATGAAGCATACACGTACGTATCTACTGTTAAACTGAATGTATCGCATTGATTAATTCACATATATTGGAAGGCGTGAATAAACATTACCAGAGATTTTTAGGTCATCTGACCGAAAGCATCATCATGACCTCTAGCCATTGTCATTTGTGCCACCAGTTGGATTGAGCTCAAACTTGCATGAAATGATCCTGAGATGGTCTTGATCAGGTGTTGTTATGCCTGAAATCCAAGATGGCTGCCATTTTGAAAAATATATTTTAAACTTCTTTTCCAGTTCCACTGGTGAAGTTGGTCTATAAATTGGTGGGAATGTTAAGGAAAAGTAGCCAACAAAGTATTTTTATTTTTCGACACAGCAGTCGGGGAGTCCATTTTGTTACATGATTGCGCAATCATGGTTTTCCTTTGAAACACCTATTTCAAACTTCTTCTCAAGTTTCACCTGTTGGATTGAGCTCCAACTTTACTGTCAAAAAATAGGTAACACTTGTTACAGTTACCAACTTCTCACCAAAACTAACATCTTCATCATGGAAAACAGCTTCTTAGCAAGATTTCATTCAGAGTTTAAAAAAAAATAACCCATCTCTTTGCTGAAAGTTTTTGTTGTCAGATAACTGTTAAGACTTGTTGGCCTCTTGTATTACTTCCTTGCTGACAACACCCATTACATAAAGTTTGGTCATTACACGTTTTATTTTACCTTGTTGATCTGTGGTTGGCTGAAGGTTCTCATTGTTTCCATTATTGTCATAGCTTCATGGCATTACCTAAGAATCCATTTCATAATTTTTCATACCAGAGTTTACACATGTATGATGAGTGGCTTATGTATACTTCATTCTTTTATAGCAAATTCGTGGATCCACATATGACATGTTTTGAACCTGAAGCCATGGGAAACTTAATAGTTGGCATGGATTTCCATAAATTTTATTTTGATGGTAAGTTATCTCTTAACTGATTATTTGATTTGATTTTTCCATTTGTGTGAACAAGAATTCAATGTTATAATCATTAAGGATAAAATATTGAGGCAGAAAAAATTGGGTTTGACATCTACAGTTCCACCAGTTCTTTGAAGACTTTTGATGAGTTTAACCAGAAGCAGGTTTCAACCACAATACCAAGATTGATAAATACATACCTCATATCTATTGCAATAGCTAAATTATTGCTTCAGTATAGTGAAAGGGATAAAGTCCTTAATCTGTGCACAGCACTTCAGTATAACCAAAGGAGATAAGGTCCCTGATCTGAGTGCTTTGATATAACCAAGAGGATAAGATCTTTAATTCGAGTACTTTAATGTCACCAAAGGGATAAGGTCCGTGATCACGGCACTTCAGTATAACCAAAGGAGATAAGGTCCGTGATCACGGCACTTCAGTATAACCAAAGGAGATAAGGTCCGTGATCATGGCACTTCAGTATAACCAAAGGAGGTAAGGTCCTTGATCATGGCACTTACATATAACCAAGGAGATAAGGTCCTTGATCATGGCACTTCAGTATAACCAAAGGAGATAAGGTCCTTGATCTGAGCACTTCAGTATAACCAAAGGAGATAAGGTCCTTGATCACGGCACTTCAGTATAACCAAAGGAGATAAGGTCCTTGATCATGGCACTTCAGTATAACCAAAGGAGGTAAGGTCCTTGATCACGGCACTTCAGTATAACCAAAGGAGATAAGGTCCTTGATTACGGCACTTCAGTATAACCAAGGTGATAAGGTCCTTGATCTGAGCACTTCAGTATAACCAAAGGAGATAAGGTCCTTGATCATGGCACTTCAGTATAACCAAAGGAGATAAGGTCCTTGATCTGAGCACTTCAGTATAACCAAAGGAGATAAGGTTCTTGATCATGGCACTTCAGTATAACCAAAGGAGATAAGGTTCTTGATCATGGCACTTCAGTATAACCAAAGGAGATAAGGTCCTTGATCATGGCACTTCAGTATAACCAAAGGAGATAAGGTCCTTGATCACGGCACTTCAGTATAACCAAAGGAGATAAGGTCCGTGATCACGGCACTTCAGTATAACCAAGGTGATAAGGTCCTTGATCATGGCACTTCAGTATAACCAAGGGAGGTAAGGTCCTTGATCTGAGCACTTCAGTATAACCAAAGGAGATAAGGTCCTTGATCATGGCACTTCAGTATAACCAAAGGAGATAAGGTTCTTGATCATGGCACTTCAGTATAACCAAAGGAGATAAGGTCCTTGATCATGGCACTTCAGTATAACCAAAGGAGATAAGGTTCTTGATCACGGCACTTCAGTATAACCAAAGGAGATAAGGTCCGTGATCACGGCACTTCAGTATAACCAAGGTGATAAGGTCCTTGATCATGGCACTTCAGTATAACCAAGGGAGGTAAGGTCCTTGATCTGAGCACTTCAGTATAACCAAAGGAGATAAGGTCCTTGATCACGGTACTTCAGTATAACCAAAGGAGATAAGGTTCTTGATCACGGCACTTCAATATAACCAAAGGAGATAAGGTCCGTGATCATGGCACTTCAGTATAACCAAGGGAGGTAAGGTCCTTGATCTGAGCACTTCAGTATAACCAAAGAGATAAGGTTCTTGATCACAACACTTCAGTATAACCAAAGGAGATAAGGTCATTGATCTGAGCACTTCAGTATAACCAAAGGAGATAAGGTCCTTGATCATGGCACTTCAGTATAACCAAAGGAGATAAGGTTCTTGATCACGGCACTTCAGTATAACCAAAGGAGATAAGGTCCGTAATCATGGCACTTCAGTATAACCAAGGGAGGTAAGGTCCTTGATCTGAGCACTTCAGTATAACCAAAGGAGATAAGGTCCTTGATCTGAGCACTTCAGTATAACCAAAGAAGATAAGGTTCTTGATCACAACACTTCAGTATAACCAAAGGAGATAAGGTCCGTGATCATGGCACTTCAGTATAACCAAGGGAGGTAAGGTCCTTGATCTGAGCACTTCAGTATAACCAAGGGAGGTAAGGTCCTTGATCTGAGCACTTCAGTATAACCAAAGGAGGTAAGGTCCTTGATCTGAGCACTTCAGTATAACCAAAGGAGATAAGGTCCTTGATCATGGCACTTCAGTATAACCAAAGGAGATAAGGTCCTTGATCACGGCACTTCAGTATAACCAAGGGAGGTAAGGTCTGTGATCATGGCACTTCAGTATAACCAAAGGAGATAAGGTCCTTGATCATGGCACTTCAGTATAACCAAAGGAGATAAGGTTCTTGATCATGGCACTTCAGTATAACCAAGGAGATAAGGTCCTTGATCATGGCACTTCAGTATAACCAAAGGAGATAAGGTCCTTGATCTGAGCACTTCAGTATAACCAAAGGAGATAAGGTCCTTGATCACGGCACTTCAGTATAACCAAAGGAGATAAGGTCCGTGATCATGGCACTTCAGTATAACCAAAGGAGATAAGGTCCTTGATCACAACACTTCAGTATAACCAAGGTGATAAGGTCCTTGTTCTGAGCACTTACATATAACCCTGGAGATAAGGTCCTTAATTTGAGCACTTACATATAACCCTGGAGATAAGGTCCTTAATTTGAGCACTTACATATAACCCTGGAGATAAGGTCCTTAATTTGAGCACTTACATATAACCCTGGAGATAAGGTCCTTAATTTGAGCACTTACATATAACCCTGGAGATAAGGTCCTTAATCTTGATGCCTCTGTGTTTTCTCTTGTTGTGAAGAACTTTTGATCTACACTGGTATGTAACATTGTAACCATTTCTATTTTTAGTACATACAAAGAACAATAAGCAGATCAACACTAGTATATTAAACCCCCATGTTCACCTGTTGGGAGATGATGCTGCTTGCATCGCATATGTCAGGCTAACACAGTACATAGATAGGTAAGTAGGTCGGTTTGGCTGTTTATATATACATGTAGATGAAGTCTTGACAGTATCTATTTAATCTGTATCTATTTAATAAGAAGCATGCTGCTGTAACTCTCAACAGTCCTCTTTGCAGAATGTTTTTTCCACTCTTAATTTGGATTCTGTATACTTCATATTGTTCCTTACCTAAGGTAATTTGGTTCATTACATAGAACAACTTAATCTGACACTATTGCGCCACAATTTCTTCATTATATGTATAGATTTTAAGAGGACAGTAATGCATTATTTGAAATTTAGAAATTTGTTTTTTTACCTTGTAATTAAAGTAATTGACTGTAGGCTACAATATAAGTAATAGCTCTGTTTTCACCTGTAGAAATGGTCTACCTGTAACTACACAAGCTGAGGAAACCCGTGTCTGGCAGCGTAAGGATAATAAGTGGCAGAATGTTCACTTCCATCGGTCAGGAAGCCCTTCCGCACCCAACAAATAGACCCCAATGGTTACCCTTCTTACGGTGGTAGGAGGGACTTAATGTTGCCAGAAGCAGAGGGACGGAGCCTTGGGGCCTGTTTTTGCTCATTCTGACACTTGAGATTTATATTTCCAGCTGGTCATATTGTCCTAAGTGGCCGCCTAGCTCTGTGGCCTACTGCTGCCATGCATTTATGTGGCCTGAAGGTGGAGCCATTAAGGAATGACCTGTCGCTACACATTGTTTCTATCTCATTGAAGTGTATGTATAGGCTGCCACTTATCTGTTCTGTACTAGGAATAATAACACATATACCTGTCTAGCCAGCAAGCACACCATCATCACCGTCAGCACACGGTCACATCATTAGAAATACTGTCACGAGTCATCAGAAAATAGACAGGATAAAACTTCTTTCGAATGTTCTTAAAATGTGTTTAGAGATATACTCTCTTTTTGTTAGAATTTCATGTATTGATAAGTCACACAGCAGATGACATGAAATAATATTCTCTGTAAAATTTTTGTCTCAAATTCAAAATTGATAAATAAAATTATCAAAGCAACATCAGGTTTTTTTAGTACACGAAAAAAAAACTTTTTTGATCAAAAATAGAAGCAATGAACAAAGCAATTATGTGTAGAATTACAGAACGTGTGAGTGACTGAGGTTGGTTGTAGAGCTTAGTCTTTTTATTCTATTTATGGATAACCTTGTTACAGAGTACCAGATTTATTCATTATTCTTATTGACTTTTATTATTATAAATGCAAACTATAACTCTTGTATCAGTAGTATGATATTGTTACAAAGCTTTACTAAGTAATCTTGTGTGTTTGTAGGAGAGAATGTGTGTTTTATGTGGGGGGAGATTAGCACTTCTAGATAATACTGATTTTGAATGTTGAATGCATTGCGATACACAAGTCCCTTTTTTCAGTTATTGATCATGTGCAATATTAATTGTGATGTTTTTGCCAATTTTTAATAAGGTTTCCTTTGAGCCCATTATTCAATCCTACACCTATGGCTGTTTAGCTGTATAGTTTGGTGATAACTATTGATATCAGTCAGCAAACAAACACCACAATTTACTTATATCAATCAGACGGATACCTTTTTTTTCATACCATTGGGATCTGAGGTAAACCTGATCAATCAGGGCAGATCTAGTATCGCCACCACTCCCTACTTGTCTGGTAGTTTATATACGTATAGATTCATGCATATTCATTAACATTTTAACATGTTTATCCATTATGGGCATATTTAGATGTATACCATACCTTTTTGCTGAATATTAATGTATTTCACTCTTAAAATTGTATATATTTTGAAATTATTTAGTTTTGAATAAAAATTGTTATACACTATTTTATGATATAGATACATTTGTTATTTCCAGTGTGTAAGCTTATCTATATGTTCATTTCTCCTTAATAAAGTGACAGTTTAGGTCACCCCGGGTTGATGATAATCCCATTGTTTGTTCATTTAGGACTTTGAACCTGCAGTTGTCACTCCTGTTTGCTCATTCCTTTGATGTCTTGATCATACATAATCTTTGTACACACCCTCCCCGTCCTTACCTTTGAAATATGCAATTTTAGCACCGCCAAGGCAACACCACATTCCCCTTAGCCTATCTTGCTTCAGCTCCACCCCACTCCCACCACACCCCTTATATGCCTATTTATATAAATTCTAGGTATGTTTTCAGTCTGTAGTATGGTTGATATCTAAATTTCCAGCAGATTGGCTATTGAGAGTGTAGTTGAATTATTTTGCTCTTGGCCCTTTGCACTAACTAGCAGAATACTGTATGGTGATATGATGACAAGTTTCTTTTGATTAATCCTGGAAGAAGAGGAAGTTTTCTTAATATCATTAAACGAGGGTTGGTATGTTCACTACTTTTAGTGTAAGGTTCCTGTGCTATAGTTTTGTATGTTTAGTAGATATGTTTGCTCGTGATTGTCATATGAATCACTGGAGCCATACGCTGCAATGTTTTAATCAAAATGACAAAATTCAGATTATGCAGTTAACTAAAAATTTATATTTTATTGAAAACAAAATCAATGTGAGCTTTTCATGGTGTGAATTTCTTAATCAGCTTTTTACTGAAGCTTGATAAATCTTTAAGTATATCAAACATAAAAATTAGTACATAAATGCTTTTTACCTATATTTGTCAATGTACAAGAACTGAGTGGGCCATCCTGCACTTGATTTTCATGATAATTTTTGGAGGAATGGGTTAACATTACAGTTCCCACGGGACTATTATAATTTATCATGAAGATGGAACCTAAACTTTGTATTGTAGGCAGATTTGTATATGGTCTGTGTACATTTAGAACGAGCACATCTAATACAAACTGTTGTAAACAGTTCTAAAGTCTCTTAATATCAGTACCCTTATTACTCTTTATGAATGTTTTGTAATACCAACATGGTAGATATGCTTCTTTTTGTTCTCAAAATTAAAAACTTTAATTTTTGAAAATCATTTGACTAATTTTTCCTGCTGTCTTGAACCAGAGTTAGGTGGTATTAAAATAGGTTATTATTATTTTCCCTTATATTAAAGTTTGATCATGTATGTTAACATAAATACAATGTTTGATTGCTTTTTTCCTTGGGGAATTTATGATGCATAGAGTGCTAATATGTTTATTGGGGAGTTACTATTAACATTATTATACGAAATTTTGATATTACCATTTATCATTTTTTTGCATTCATTTATATACACTTTTTTTCTTCCACAATGCATTTTGCTGGTATAATGTTTTTGTTTTTCCCATTGATCAATGTGTCATTACTGGTACCAAGTAGCTGCTGAATAGCTACAGACTGACATACCAGGTAATTTACAGTTTATATGAAAGATCCTTATGAGCCATCTGTTTTGCTAGAAAATATATCGTTAAGTATTCATAAACCCTACAGTTGTTATTTGGTACTTCTAGACATGTAGGACACACTTGATAATTTTCTGAGAACAATTTGTATTGTACTGTAGTGGTAAATAATTAAATTAAGATTTCTGTTCACTTAAAAGTTCAAATGTTAATCTGCAGATTCATTCAACTATTGGTTAATTCAAACGAGAAGTTACCATCAAAAAAGTATAAAGTTACAAATATTTTGTATATTATTCTGCTATTTACACTCAAAGGCAATGATTATTCAGCAATATTGTGGGTTTTTTTAAATCTAGATGATTCTTTTGTTAATGTCTTTTGTGATCGTGGTTTGTTTAATACATGTTGTGAGACTGTTGATAGTGTGGGACATCCTAACAGTAAGCGTTACATCAGCTCTGGGACAGTCTTACTTCACACCAACAGCTGGCCACAAAAAATAGGTATACCTGTGTTGTCTGTGTCTCCGGCCTATCTCTTCTATTATCACATGCAAATTAATTGATGTCTACACTTTTGAAACATATTTAAGCATTGTTCCTAGCCTTTTGGAATACTGATAGTTGATGTTAGTTTTCTAGTATGGTACATTACGTTTTGTAGTATAGTTATAACTCCTCGAAGGAGCATTTCATATTTTAAGAAATATCTTGTAAATATTTTTAAATATTTTTGTCATTTGGAAAAAAACAATTGTGAGACTTTCAGAAATACTAACCACATACATGTAAGACTCAGAGGATGTGGAACTGCATGGTACAGCTTGGCCTACCATTTTATACAGCACTGTATCTGTCGTTACGGACAAGTAACAATCTGTACAAACTGATACTCTCAATAGTTTTGTTGTTTTCTAGTAAATGTTAATTTCCTTCAATTTGAAACATTCCCTTTGAAAATATTTATACATACTTTAATGGTCATTAGATTGAAGTTGTATGACATACTGGCACGTATCAGGGTATTTATATGATCAGTTTATTTTGTAGTTAAATCGTGATTAAAAAGGACATCGGTCCTAAGCAAGGCTACTTACTCTGTAATTATATTAAAACTACGCTGAAGGTTACACTATGGACAGCTTTCCTCTGTATTCCACCAACGCCATCCTCAACACAAGACGATGGCCTTAGTCACTGTGCTTTTAGAAACTTTTGGTCCATGGTGTAAAAAAAGAGTACAAGATGTACTGAGGGAAGTGTAGTCGCTGTTAGTTGTGCCATATTTATATACTGAGTTACAACAGTTAACACCAGTTTCATAAGAGAGTGACAGTATTTATGATAGATTTTACAGGAAATTAACTCATTTGGTGTCGTTTATTTACAAATTGTTAAAATATTTTTTTCCGAATGTTTTATCCTTAAATGGCAGAGGATTAGAAAATTGTGAATTGAAAATTTTATATGCAGGAAAGTGTACACATGTAACATAGAGAAATGATATATAGTTTATAAATTATAACCAGTTTGGTTAGTTAATATAAGATGCACAAAATCTTAAGAGTAATGACAAAATTATGTAAAAGTAAAATGCAAAAAACTTTAATGCTATATTGTAGAGCTGCTGTTATTTTGAAATCTGCACAACAGTGTTAAAAATACATTGCCAGCATACATGTGCTGGTGTTACATAGCCAGTATATATTTACTGGTGGTGTTACATAGCCAGTCTATAATAGTGGTGTTACATAGCCAGTATATATTTACTGGTGGTGTTACATAGCCAGTCTATAATAGTGGTGTTACATAGCCAGTATATATTTACTGGTGGCGTTACATAGCCAGTATATATTTACTGGTGGCGTTACATAGCCAGTATATATTTACTGGTGGCGTTACATAGCCAGTATATATTTACTGGTGGCGTTACATAGCCAATATATTTGTACTGGTGGCGTTACATAGCCAGGATATTTGTACTGGTTGCGTTACATAGCCAGTATATATTTACTGGTGGTGTTACGTAGCCAGTCTATAATAGTGGTGTTACATATCCAATATATATTTACTGGTGGTGTTACATAGCCAATATATTTGTACTGGTGGTGTTACATAGCCAGTATATATTTACTAGTGGTGTTACATAGCCAGTATATATTTACCGGTGGTGTTACATATCCAATATATATTTACTGGTGGTGTTACATAGCCAGTATATTTGTACTGGTGGTGTTACATAGCCAGGATATTTGTACCGGTGGTGTTACATAGCCAGTATATATTTACTGGTGGCGTTACATAGCCAGTATATATTTACTGGTGGTGTTACATAGCCAGTATATTTGTACTGGTGGTGTTACATAGCCAGGATATTTGTACCGGTGGTGTTACATAGCCAGTATATTTGTACTGGTGGTGTTACATAGCCAGGATATTTGTACTTGTACGATACAAGTTAATATCATTTAAATGATCCTTTCTCTTTCTAAGCCATTACAGCACTTAAGCCACCCATTTTTTCATATATTAAGTGTCGTACACATTTCTTAATTGAATTTTTTCAACCATGTATGTATGTGATGTAGTGCTTAAACAATTTAAATGTATCCCTTTTGAATAAAACACATCTCAATTCTGAATAAAACTTTGTTTTGTTTTTGTTATTATATGTGATGTAAGAAATACTGAAAGATATACTTTGTTGAAGTTTATGACATTAGTGAGGCAAACGTAGGCTTAGACATAGTAGTGGTATTCTATCAATGTCAGGGGAGAGAACAAAAAAGAAAACAGAAGTATTAAATACCATATTATGAGATAAATAGCATTTATTCTGTTACAACATTATCAGTTTGGACCTTTTTATAAAAAAGAGACAAAATATTTTTACTGAACCAATAAGTCTCCCACTCAATTGGTTACAGGACCCAAGCTTTCTTTAGTGCTTTAGGGCAGTCTCCAACTGGATGAAGTACAGGACCCAAGCCTTCTTTAGAGCTACAGGGCAGTCTCCCACACGATAAATGACAGGACCCAAGCCGCCTTTAGAGCTACAGGGCAGTCTTCCACTCAATGAATTACAGGACCCAAGCCTTCTTTAGAGCTACAGGGCAGGCTCCCACTCGATGAGTTCCAGGACCCAAGCCTTCTTTAGAGCTACAGGGCAGTATCCCACTCAATGAATTATAGGACACAAGCCTTCTTTATAGCTACAGGGCAGTCTCCCACTTGATAAAATACAGGACCCAAGCCGCCTTTAGAGCTACAGGGCAGTCTTCCACTCGATTATCACTTTCATTCATTATAGCTATGCACAGATTATAAAATGGATCTGAAAATTATGTTACACATATTATGCATAGAGGCCACCGTAGCGTTCTGGCTAAGCAGCGCTGTGGCAGTTTGCCTTTGAATATAGAGTCTGGACGTTATAATAAGCCGCCTAGGCCTCTAAATGAGAGAACTTGTCCTTTTTGCACTAATGCTATCGAGTCAGAAATTCATTTTATTTGCAACTGTAAAGCGTATTGTGATTTAAGGGAAATTTTAATTTTAGATAGGGCTAATGTTTTATGTGATAATTTTAAAGCCATGAGTGCAGAAAATCAATTTATCTTTTTAATGAATTGTGATGTTCTACAAATTAATCTTGGAAAATATGTATTCTTAGTGATGAGAAGAAGGCGGTCACTTTTAAATAATGGATAACCGTTTTAAGTATAACTGTATATTTTATGTATATAATCGTGTCTCACAAGCCAATTAATGGCTGGGCATTTTTACTATGATGGAATATATTTTAAAGAAATTGTATATATTTTGTAAAAATGTGTGACACGGAAACAAAATAAATAGATTATAAATTTTGATGGTCATCTATTTAGGTTAAAGTTCATAAGTCTGTGTTGACCACATATGAAATAAGTAGCTTGTTTACAAGATATCTTGTGAACCCCTCAATAGATTATACTAACCCCTCAGTAGCTTTAGAGAAAATTTGATCCTTCACCATAAATCAAAATAATCAGAAAAACACTGTAAAATCTTTTCATCACAATTTTATTACAATAATTAAATCACATTTTATTTGTCATAAAAATGTACATTAAATTTGTGTGATAAATCTATGGTACATTCTGAAAGAATGATTCTGATAGCCGTGATGTAAATATAGATCACATTATTGGTCATGAACATGTGTATAGAGTAAAATATGCCAATATGTAATAGCAGTATAAAAATAAACTCGAATAATGACTCAAACTATACAATCACAAACCTTTTGTCGTAAGCAGTGAATTAAGAGAGACAGGAGGCAGTTTTCTGGAGCAATTTAACTGGAGTTCTGGAATGTCATTTTATACATCAGACTGCATAAAACATTTGGACAAGATCTTTCACTTTTGTAGCACAATGATCAAAATCTGGAAAACGTCTTAGAATTAAATCAGTAATGAAGCTAACATGGAATTTACATTAAAATCATTTTTAACATTTGTTTTCTTAAATTCAAGAAAGGACTTTTGTTAAATAACAGAAAATTTTGGCTCTACTTGTCACAACATTGGTTTGCTTGTCAGATATGACTTGGATAAATCCTGAGGATTTTGATGTACAAATAAGACAGAATTATGCTATGACTGAAGTCTTGAATTCCAGTTTTTTGCCTTGGATCCTCCTATCTATTAATGGCTGTTACCAACAGACTAAGAGCACAGAGAACTACATCCCTCTTGAGTATCAGCCTACAACAGTCCATTATGTCACACCTTATCACAGTCTAATGCCGGAATAGTCCGGTGGTACAACCACAGTTGTCTCTCCACTTTTTCCAAGGTCACCAAACTCGGGACTCAACTCATCTGAAAGAAAATTTCACAGTTACAGAGAGCATTAATGAAATGTGTTCGCTAGATGACTAGAAATGTATATCAATGATACAACAGGAATAATGCAAGAACATTGTATTATGATGTTATAACAGAGACTGTTTGGAATAGTGATGTTATAAAAAAGACTGTGATGAGAAGCATGACATTATACAAGAGATCCCAGAGGGATTTTGGTGCCCACCATTGTTTGGTGTTTATTTGCTCATTGAAAGTTGGATCTTTTCCCTTCTTTTCTCTACTCTTCTCTGTTTTTACTCTTAATGATACAACATTTGAACATCCCTGTGAAGAAATTGCAATGATAATCTTTACCTGCCAAGTACAAAATGTTCACCTGGAAGCCATTTTGTTTCTTTTGATCAGTCCCAAAATCAAATGGGCACAAGGAGAGACCAAAGGAAACATACGTATGAAATTTGAGAGATATCCCTTCAGTATTTCTTAAGAAATAGGGTTAACAATCTTTATAAAGAGAAATCCAAGATGGCTGCCTGTCAGCCATTTTGTTTTTCTGATCAGTCCTAAACTCAAACATGCACATATAGGGACCAAGAGAAACCTATGTATACATAAAATCTGAGAAAGATCTACTCCTTAAAAAATAATGATAACAAACTTTCTAAGTCAAAATCCAAGATGGCCACTTGTGGGCCATTTTAATTTTACTGATCAGTACCCAAATCAAACTGGCACAAGGGACAAAGGAGGACCTACATATACAATTTGAGAAAGATCCATCCAGCAGTCCTCAAGAAATAGCGATAACAAAAATTCTTTACGGATGGACGAACGACCCACGGATGCAGAGTGATTTGAAAAAGACTTGAAACTTGACATTATAACAGAGACTGTTGGGAAACAGAACATTATCACAGGGACTGTCTTGAGGATCATGATATTATAACAGAGACAGTGTGTTAAAAACATGACATATAACAGAGACTTGAGAAACATGACATTATAACATAGACTGTTGAGAAACATGATATCATAACAGAGACAGTGTGTTAAAAAACATGACATATAACAGAGACTGTTGAGAAACATGATATTATAACAGAGACAGTGTGTTAAAAAACATGACATATAACAGAGACTGTTGAGAAACATGACATATATCAGAGACTGTGTTAAGAAACATGACATATAACAGAGACTGTGTTAAGGATCATGACATTACTACCGATGAAGGGAAGGTGTGAACGTTTCAAGTACTGTATTACTGAACAAAGTATTGATAGTATTGTACTGAAGTACTTCACCAATCGAATTCCTTAAATTTATGCAACAAGCTCTCTGATTGGCAGAGCCAAGTCTAGATCGATTGTGGGTGGAGCCAGGTGAAAAAATACTGTGCAGACATCGGCATTTTACAAACACTCGACTGTCGCGAGAGGTTAATTGGAAGAGTCCAAGTCACAGGTGGCTTCAGATCAGACCTAATTGGGTTGTCCCATTTGTTTCGTTCTACACCCAATGATACCTTGCTTTTCCATCGATGGTACAACGAGAAAACGAAAGTTACTCAGTACTAAACTAATTTATGTACAAAATATATATCAACAGGTTAGATCACTGGGACTGGAGAATTCATAACATCTTAACAGTGAATATAGTCATATAGTCATTCTGTACTAGTTTTATTTATTTATTTATTTTTTTGAAAGGGGGGGGGGGGAGGGTTGGCTCAAAATATTTCGGTTTAAGCCCAAGCTCTATTATATGTAACAAAGAATTACGATTTACCTGGGACCTCCTGATATATGCCGATAATTCATACTGCATTAAAAAGTAAAGGAATTCTGTGGTCCCATATATTTTTTATTTTATTTTTTATCTTTCCATCGAAAATTATACATATCCGCAACATGTGAAAAAACTTTGAAGTTGGTTGGGCAGAATATCTAGAGCATTTACTACTGCAAGTTCCAGAAATTCTGACACAAGTCGGGTATTTGCCCGAAGCCTCTGTCTCATGACATTGAATACATATTCAGTTACGTTGTATCCCGGGGAATAAGGCGGCTGAAAAACCAGGGACACGCCATATTCTTTCAGCATATTTCTTAAAATGCGCTCTCCCTGTCTATGGTGATGGAATCCACAATTATCCATCACAACCACATCGCCTTGTACAAAAACAGGATTCCCCATATCGTTCGTATCGGACATAATTTCGTCGAAGAAAATTTTGCGTACTGTTGCCGTCGTCGGACATTTTTCCAGCGATTACTTAGTAATTGTTATGTAACTGATAGTGTACATTAACTCCGCCTACCGGAACAAATTGGGTGTCAGATCAACTATTCAGGTTGTCTAAACTCCGCCCCCGACCAATCACAGAGGTCGTTGTATACTTGACTCGATTATTTGAATACTTCAATACAATAGTATCGATACTTTGTTCAATACTATAGTAAGTGTGTCGTTCACACCTTCCCTTCATCGGTAGTAAAACAGAGACTGTTAAGAAATATGACATGATAGGGACTGTTGTGTTTCTTGGCATTATAATAGACTTGTGTATAATGATATCAGACGAGTTCTTGTGTCGATCATTGACAAACTTTTGATGTTTTCTTTACCAGAATCTCAAGAGAATAAATGTTGGAATTTAGCATATAGCAACTGATATATGTGAACTATTAAAGATTGTTGTTGGTTTTGTTGCTGTGGTGTCAGAAAAACTTAAACAATAGACTGTTCCATGATGGTAGGTTTTAGGTTGGAAAACTGAATAGTTTATTTTTGTGTCTGTAAAATTTGGAAAGGGTATAAAGAAAAGCATATTTCATTGAAGAAAAGCTGTAAATATAAGGACTAACACTGTATTTTGTACAGGCTGTCAGGTAAATTGTACAGGTGTTGTACTTATCCTCTGTTTACCTAAAACACAACAAAATATTGATCCTTATATAACTGAGATCATGTTAAAAATCATGACATAATAGCAATGCCTGTAATCTAATTATGACAATAGCATATTATATACATAAACTTTAAAGTGAAAACAGAGTAATTGTATCTCCTGGGGAATGCATGAGGAAGGATTTTTAGTGTTCAGCTAATTTTTAAAATTATCAAGATGAAAGACTATTGAGACAGACAGGTGGTCCTCATCAAAATCCCCTGAATTCTGATCCTTTTACCTCTATATAATACTGGGGGACTATACAGTAATAACCAGCCTTATACAGTAGTGAACAAATACTGAAGTGGTGAATAAACAAATACATAGGGTTAGGGTTAAACATCACCTTGTAGAAATTTGCAGCCTTCCTCTACAGTGGAACTGACTAGAAAGTCTGGGATATCTCTGTCTTGTAAAGTGTCCAACACTTTGGTCTAAAAGTAAAAAAAAAGAGGTTACAGTTATTTTGTTTCTGTAATAAACTAGAAAAGTTTCCTCCTACACAAACCAGAGTCAGGTATAGAACTTGATGTTACACACAACAAGATAGGACTGGACAGACAAACATGGGTAACAATGAATTCCAGTTATAGTACTATCTATCATAGAGATATCCAATGTGACAATACCAAACTTTAGATAACTCTTTTGAAAAAGAACATATGAAAAAATACTATAGACTTGATAATTATATTGTCTTTGCCAAATACATGATGTGGTTCCTTAGGACATCTCATCAGGATTTGTACTATAGGGATGGTCTGCCATAACTGTAACAACGTCATCTTAATCTTTTAGTTACTTACACCAAGACATGCAAAGACAATTCTTGCATCTTTTCGTTTGAATTCTGCAATCAGCTCAATAATGCCCTAAACAAAGAAATTAACATACAGTTCATTATCTAAGAACCTTAAAAATGAGATTATATCTAAAAATCTTAACAACGAGATTATAGCTCCAAATCTTAACAATGAGATTATAGCTCCAAATCTTAACAATGAGATTATAGCTCCAAATCTTAACAATGAGATTATAGCTCCAAATCTTAACAATGAGATTATAGCTCCAAATCTTAACAATGGGATTATAGCTCCAAATCTTAACAACGAGATTATAGCTAAAAATCTTAACAATGGGATTATAGCTCCAAATTTTAACAATGGGATTATAGCTCCAAATCTTAACAATGGGATTATAGCTCCAAATCTTAACAATGAGATTATAGCTCCAAATTTTAACAATGGGATTATAGCTCTAAAAAAAATCTTAACAACGAGATTATATCTAAAAGTCTTAACAATGAGATTATAGCTCAAAATCTTAACTAGATTATAGCTCCAAATCTTAACAATGAGATTGTAGCTCAAAATCTTAACAACAAGATTATATCTAAAAATCTTAACAATGAGATTATAGCTCCAAATCTTAACAACGAGATTATAGCTCCAAATCTTAACAACGAGATTATAGCTCCAAATCTTAACGAGATTATAGCTCAAAATCTTAACAACGAGATTATAGCTCCAAATCTTAACAACGATATTAAAGCTCAAAACTTTAACAACGAGATTATAGCTCAAAATCTTAACAACAAGATTATAGCTCCAAATCTTAACAATGAGATTATAGCTCCAAATCTTAACAATGAGATTATATCTAAAAATCTTAACAACGAGATTATATCTAAAAATCTTATCAACGAGATTACCAGGTATATCAAAATATCTAAACAACAAGGTTATATCTAAAAATCTTAACAACGAGATTACCAGGTATATCAAAATATCTAAACAACAAGGTTATATCTAAAAACTTTAACAATGAGATTACCAGGCATATAAAAATATCTAAACAACAAGGTTATATCTAAAAACTTTAACAATGAGATTACCAGGCATATAAAAATATCTAAACAACAAGGTTATATCTAAAAACTTTAACAATGAGATTACCAGGTATATCAAAATATCTAAAAAAACAAGGTTATATCTAAAAACTTTAACAATGAGATTACCAGGTATATCAAAATATCTAAACAACAAGGTTATATCTAAAAACTTTAACAATGAGATTACCAGGTATATCAAAAAATCTTAACAACGAGATTATATCTAAAAACTTTAACAATGAGATTACCAGGCATATAAAAATATCTAAACAACAAGGTTATATCTAAAAACTTTAACAATGAGATTACCAGGTATATCAAAATATCTAAACAACAAGGTTATATCTAAAAACTTTAACAATGAGATTACCAGGTATATCAAAATATCTAAACAACAAGGTTATATCAACAAATCTTAACAAAAAGATTATAGCTTATATCAAGAATGTAAAATGTCAGACCTTAACATAAAGAATTTTTCTATGATCATATATTAAACCCTCTTTAGGTCTGGAAACCCTCAGAAAATTAAACCCTCTCTGGGTCTGGAAACCCTCAGAAAGTCAAAACCCTCTCTGGGTCTGGAAACCCTCAGAAAGTTAAAACCCTCTCTGGGTCTGGAAACCCTCAGAAAGTTAAAACTCTCTCTGGGTCTGGAAACCCTCAGAAAGTTAAAACCCTCTCTGGGTCTGGAAACCCTCAGAAAATTAAACCCTCTCTAGGTCTGGAAACCCTCAGAAAGTCAAAACCCTCTCTGGGTCTGAAAACCCTCATAAAGCTAAACCCTTTTTGGGTCTGGAAACCCTCAGAAAGTTAAATTTAACTTACCTGTACAGATCTGTAGTCTGTCACTATAGTAAGTATGTCAGTAACTTACCTGTACAGATCTATAGTCTGTCACTATAGTAAAGTCAGTAACTTACCCTCTCTAGTCTGTCACTATAGTAAGTATGTCAGTAACTTACCTGTACAGATCTATAGTCTGTCACTATAGTAAGTATGTCAGTAACTTACCTGTACAGATCTATAGCCTGTCACTATAGTAAGTATGTCAGTAACTTACCTGTACAGATCTATAATCTGTCACTATAGTAAGTATGTCAGTAACTTACCTGTACAGATCTATAATCTGTCACTATAGTAAGTATGTCAGTAACTTACCCGTACATATCTATAGTCTGTCACTATAGTAAGTATGTCAGTAACTTACCTGTACATATCTATAGTCTGTCACTATAGTAAGTATGTCAGTAACTTACCTGTACAGATCTATAATCTGTCACTATAGTAAGTATGTCAGTAACTTACCTGTACAGATCTATAGCCTGTCACTATAGTAAGTATGTCAGTAACTTACCTGTACAGAACTATAATCTGTCGCCGTGACATACGTACAGTCCACAACAACTGATCTCAGTTTATCACCTGAATAAAAAACAGAAACATACATAGTGTTGATGAGGTCATCATGTTTTTAAATGAGTCTTACCATACCTTAATAAGTCAATGAGTTGATATTTCCCACCAACCAGATTACAGTATGTTGATTAATTACTTGAAGAAATTTTAAAGCAATCATTGTAATTGGTACATTCTCCTGAAATTTCATTGACATTTAAGTAAGAGAGGCATAACCTAGGCAACTTCAAAACATTTTAACGGCACCAAATTATTATCTGTAGCTGATATCAAAGGAATTCTAACCTTGAATGGTGGCTGCCTCAGTCACTGTGTTCTGTAGGAAGTCTACAGCAGGGAAACGCACCCCCTGGTCCACCTTCAGTACAACCACTCCCAACTCGGACACCTGTCATCAGACATCAACCATTTACAACTAATAATCCACAATCAAGACATCATTTTATTATAATACTAATATAATGGTTGTAAAACAATTTTCTACATGACTATGGTTTTAACTTGAGAGTAACACTCTGTGTTTAAAATTTATCACAGAGTTACAGTGCTATTCAGTGAATATACTCATATAATATTTCTGTATATGATTCCATACTATATGACCTACTGTGAAGCCAGTACTGCTAAATCGACAGAACTCATGTGTCACCATTTTTCTGCGTATGACAAGAATAAACAGTGGTATGACATTGAGTTCTCTGAGAATTGTGTTAGTTAACTTACATCAATTTTAGGTCTAGCTATAGGATAGAGTAACAACAGCAGGTCCACACCGACACCAATAAGGATCCCATACTGTAGAGAAGATAAACCAAAACAGTGTGACAACAACATAAAATATGTCTTACTGAGGAGTACACACCTTGTTCTATACTAAAACATGATGTTACCCCCAAACTATCTGTGTGTAGACAGAATATGTAGACTTTAAACAGAAATCTTTCTACCTGTCATGGACAGGAAATGACATCTGTTATTGCTCACCTGTTCTGCGGCTAATAAAGCGAAAATATGATTAGAATCATCCCAGACTTGACAACTCTTCTGATCACGTTGCAGGTTTAACTAGAACTGTCATCCTGAGGATAAGTAATACCCCTAACAGATACAAAGACTTTACTTATCAATCATTGTTAGCACATACCATTATCACAGCTATTTCATTTCCTACAATTCAAAAATATAAAAAACAAAAAACACAAAAAAAACATCCTAAAACTATTATCAACTATATGAATAAACACTAAGCAGAATTTAATGCTAGAAAAATAAGTCAGTCAAAAATTGGGAAAAAATCATTTTTAATTAAATGAGGGGAAAACGTATTAATATGTTAAATGGTACTATTCCTCGATGAGGTGAACCTAATTTCAAGTTCATTGGACATTCGATTTCATAGTATACATCATCCTATAACAGTGTCTATGCAAGAAATCAGCATTCTACATCCATTATCAACAACACAACAACACACTCAGCACAGCTAAACACAAAGGGGGAATACAAAGTCACTTTAGGAGGTATACCTCCATATTGGATTGGTTATTCCTGTAAAATTTCAAAAAGATCCTTTGTAAACTCAGCAAATGCAAAACCAGACAAAATAGTGTTAATTATTATATATAAAAGGGGGATAACTTGCTGAAATGGGAAAGGGGTGGAATTCTAAGTCACTTTAGGGGGCACATCTCCATATTGTACTTGCTATTCCCACAAAATTCTGTTGTTAACTGAGCAAATGCATAGCTCTATAACTTTGTGACGAGGAATATTATTATAGATTCAAGAGTCTTTTTGGTTACTGAGAAGAAGTTGTTTGAAAACTTAAACACATTATACCTCTGTAATATTGACAATGTAACAACCTTGGTCACCATTCCATTCACTATGTCACAATATCATGACCTTTAACCTCTTGGTTACTGTTAAGTTTTTAATGCTGAAGAGACGGATAGACAGAAGGACATACAGACCGATGGACGGACAGACAGCATACAATGGCCTAAAGCCCCCAAGACTAAGGCAATATTTAACATCCCACATTTTCAAGTTTGGAACAGTCTATGTGTAGTTGATGAAAAGTATGAATCATAATGGTTGACTTTTTAAATATTAGCATTTCAAAGTAATTATCTAATAATTGGAAATTTGAATCCTAATTAAATGATAAATGCTCATACATGTTGCTGACAGTACTCACCTCTATTCCAACACCTAAGGAGGACACGAATGTCACAAACAAGGGAATCAGGTCAATTTCTACAAGTAAGGTTAAACTGAGCTTACAACAAAGGAATATCATACATTCAGCATTAAACAGATATTATGTGAGTAGTACATCTTTATTCCAAACTTTTAATTCTTTTTTTCCTCTTTTACTTTACTTTTTTCCAAAGAGAAAAAAAAAGTAAAATCAGGCAAGAGTCACCTGCTCTTTACAGAAATAAAAATCAACAGAAAAATGACATACTGTTTGCCTTCCATAGTTTTTTGACAATTTTGTAGTCGACCATCTGTATGACAGCTGAGATGATGACTGCTGACAATGCAGCCTTGGGGATGTAGAAGAAAAGAGGAGTGAGGAACTGCAGGGCTATAAGCACCACGGCACCTGAAATTAAAGTTATTATTATAGACCAATCACGGCATTTGTAACAAAAGACTAACCACAGCATCTGTAACAAAACACCAACCACAGCATCTGTTACAAGGAACCAATCACAGCAATGATACAATGATAATCTAACTTGTGTCTGTAATATTTCAGCATTAACAAGCAATGGAAGAATTGATAATATTGGTTTATCACATATAAATATCAGAACAGTTATACTATAAAATCTCACCTGTAACAATACCTGAAGCTGGAGTTTTCACACCACTCTGGGAATTAACAGCAGTTCTATAACAGAGTAATGTAACACTTGATCTAAGTGAAATAAAACATAACATTATAGAACATGATGGGCCATAACAACCATAAATACTCGATGTTTATCAGAAACCATCATTGGAGGGAGAGTGTTGCTTACCTTACTTGATCTAAGTGAAATAAAACATAACATTATAGAACATGATGGGCCATAACAACCATAAATACTCGATGTTTATCAGAAACCATCATTGGAGGGAGAGTACTGCATTATCTGAGACACACTTTATATTGGGTTTCATAAAACAAGTGATTGTTTAAGGTATATAATTCCAAAGTATCATTCACATGAAGATTGCTTAAACTGTTCCAGTCAGTGGAAGAGAAGGTGTTATTTGAAATTAATAAACTGGCAATTTTACACTACCTACAGTTACTTGGTGGGTCAGCTGTCTTACTCGTTACATGTTTGATTCCAACCAGCTACAAATACTCAATCCCAAATTGTTTGAAAATTGAAAACTGTCATCCTTTTGCCCAACCTTTAACCCCCAATTAGTCAACCCTTCTATATTTTTTACTCTAAGGACCCTACCATCACAACCTGGACAAAACATGCCCAGTTGTTTTGTGATTCTCTAACCAAACTGACTACTGTAGACCTCTAAATCACCATTATATCTCCTGTACGTTTGATCCCCATGCCACTTCGTCAATTCTGTGAGTTCACAGCAACTTTGTAAGTGATGAATAAGATAAAACTCACTAAGAAAAAGTAAGTGATTAAAGTATAAGACTTACCTGGAGAAGCTTCCTGTCACTGGGTATGAAGACATGAAGGAGCTCAATATGTTAGCAATACCTGGCCAGGAAAAAAAATAATGCACAAATTCAAATATCTTGGACATTCTAAAATAAAATCAAAATTATTCAAAATTAACCACACCTTCCTCATAACTACTGATTACACATTTCATAAAAAACTTAATATACTACACACACAGAATCACCTTAGAGACTGAAATAGCTGATACATCTGAACAAGTTACTGACACAAGGTCACAAACTAAGATGAAAAACTTACCAATAGCTATCAACTCCTGGTTTGGAAAGATTTTGTAATTATTTTGTCGAGCTGTAAAGAAAAAAGAACAAATGAAAGTCCACATTTACATTCAATTGTCTAAAACAGTTTATAAATAAAAACAACACATAAATAACACAATTTACAATAATCAATTAAATGCTTATTAGTTAGTGTATCAATATGGAAACTGTATGATCATTTTTTTAATTTAAAAAAATCTATGAAGGTACTCTGATCTGCAGATAACACAGCCTACATATTTACACAGCCTACATGTTAACACAGCCTACATGTTAACACAGCCTACATATTTACACAGCCTACATGTTAACACAGCCTACATATTAACACAGTCTACATATTTACACAGCCTACATATTTAAATAGCATACCCATTTTACTAACTGATTTTTCAAATCATTACATTTTTTAGGAAATTTTGGTTTGTTTTCTTACATAAATGCTGATTTCATAATAAAGAAAATAAGTGATTACCAAAGGCTTTTCCAATGGCGATGAGTTCCACAAGGCCAAGTAGTGGTACTATACCTATACCTGCTCCAATACCCTGTAATTCACAAACAGGACAGAAATAAGATATACGCTTTAAAAATGTTTCACACAAATATGATCTGACATCATCTCCTGAACTTGAACTTAATATTCAATCTTGATTTGTTATGAGGAAAAAAAACCTAAAATCACTTTTCAGTGTCTTTTAAACTGAATCTTCTCACCACATAATAAATTCAGCTACTTATCCAAACCAACTTACAGAGAAGATAGTGCCTGCTGATATGGTGTCATTTCCATTCTGAACGGAAAAGGAAGGTGCTCTAAAGGGAGGTAATCCTGCCTTGATATCTCCTGTTATGCTGATGGCATCATTGATATCCTGGCTCCTTAGGATAGCTACCACTCCAGCTGCTGTGATCACGATGATGGCGTTAGCAGCTGTGACAGAGGACAGGTAATTCAGGTAAGACTTGTAATTCTTACAATGCACATCATTATATTACCGAGAAAATCCATTTTCTATGATTAGCCAAGAGGTTTCTCAAAAGTTTCGACAAAATGCAATTTTAATCATGCAATTGGCAAATTCTTGTACCAGAGTTAACACAAATTGAAAACCTACACTACAAAAGGCTACAGGGAATTTCCATAACACAAGGTTATTAGTTGATTTCCAAGACTAAATATTTTTTCTTTCTTTTTTTCAATTTTCATTTGACATTTTAAATGCTGTGTCTTATAACATCCCATCCTATATAGGAAATACTGTTAGTATGCTGACAGGTATATCAGTGGTCCCCATCCTATATAGGAAATACTGTTAGTATGCTGACAGGTATATCAGTGGTCCCCATCCTATATAGAAATACTGTTAGTATGCTGACAGGTATATCAGTGGTCCCCATCCTATATAGGGAATACTGTTAGTATGCTGACAGGTATATCAGTGGTCCCCATCCTATATAGGGAATACTGTTAGTATGCTGACAGGTGTATCAGTGGTCCCCATCCTATATAGGGAATACTGTTATTATGTTGACAGGTATATCAATATATTAACACACTCCGCCACATGGCTCACTTGTCCCTGTCAGTCATATGATTCACCTGTCCTAGTCAGCCACACAACCCTCCAGTCGCAGCCAATTCACTAAACTCACTGATCCCTGTATGCCACACAACTCACCTGTCCCTGCTAGTAACACAACTCACCTGTCCCTGCTAGTAACACAACTCACCTGTTCTGTTAGTCAGCCACACAATGTAACAAAACTCACCTGTCCCGTAACAAACTTTTCACACACAAGCTTGGTAACAAACTCACCTGTCCCTGTTAGTAACATCACTTACCTGTCCCTGTTAGTAACACAACTCACCTGTCCCTGTTAGTAACACAACTCACCTGTCCCTGTTAGTAACATCACTTACCTGTCCCTGTTAGTAACACAACTCACCTGTCCCTGTTAGTAACACAACTCACCTGTCCCTGTTAGTAACACAACTTACCTGTCCCTGTTAGTAACACAACTCACCTGTTCCAGTCAGCCACACAATGTAACGACAAACTTTTACACACAAAAGTGTCTCCACTATTTCTATGTGTATTACATGCATATATTTTGATCAATTATTACAAACTTTTATCACTAAAGTATAATCTTAACAGTAAAATGTATTTGAATTCAACAAAGTTTGCTTCTGATAAAACTTGAATTACGAGAATAAGTTTTGGGAAAAACAGTATCTCATTATCAATATATAATTTGTCTATAGGAAGAGACAAAAAAACTTACCTTTATCAGATAGAGACAAAGAAACTTACCTTTAGTAGAAAGAGACAAAGAAACTTACCTTTAGTAGAAAGAGACAAAGAAACTTACCTTTATCAGATAGAGACAAAGAAACTTACCTTTAGTAGGAACAGACAAAGAAACTTACCTTTAGTAGGAACAGACAAAGAAACTTACCTTTAGCAGGAAGAGACAAAGAAACTTACCTTTAGTAGAAAGAGACAAAAAAACTTACCTTTATCAGATAGAGACAAAGAAACTTACCTTTAGTAGGAACAGACAAAGAAACTTACCTTTAGTAGGAACAGACAAAGAAACTTACCTTTAGTAGGAAGAGACAAAGAAACTTACCTTTAGTAGAAAGAGACAAAAAAACTTACCTTTAGTAGAAAGAGACAAAGAAACTTACCTTTAGTAGGAAGAGACAAAGAAACTTACCTTTAGTAGGAAGAAACAAAGAAACTTACCTTTAGTAGGAACAGACAAAGAAACTTACCTTTAGTAGGAACAGACAAAGAAACTTACCTTTAGTAGGAAGAGACAAAGAAACTTACCTTTATCAGATAGAGACAAAGAAACTTACCTTTAGTAGGTAGAGACAAAGAAACTTACCTTTATCAGATAGAGACAAAGAAACTTACCTTTAGTAGAAAGAGACAAAGAAACTTACCTTTAGTAGGAAGAGACAAAGAAACTTACCTTTAGTAGGAACAGGAAGTAGAAAGAGACAAAAAAACTTACCTTTATCAGATAGAGACAAAGAAACTTACCTTTAGTAGGAACAGACAAAGAAACTTACCTTTAGTAGGAACAGACAAAGAAACTTACCTTTAGCAGGAAGAGACAAAGAAACTTACCTTTAGTAGAAAGAGACAAAAAAACTTACCTTTAGTAGAAAGAGACAAAGAAACTTACCTTTAGTAGAAGAGACAAAACTTACCTTTAGTAGGAAGAAACAAAGAAACTTACCTTTAGTAGGAACAGACAAAGAAACTTACCTTTAGTAGGAACAGACAAAGAAACTTACCTTTAGTAGGAAGAGACAAAGAAACTTACCTTTAGTAGAGACAAAGAAACTTAGAGACAAAGAAACTAGGAAGAGACAAAGAAACCTTTATCAGATAGAGACAAAGAAACTTACCTTTATCAGATAGAGACAAAGAAACTTACCTTTAGTAGAAAGAGACAAAGAAACTTACCTTTAGTAGGAAGAGACAAAGAAACTTACCTTTAGTAGGAAGAGACAAAGAAACTTACCTTTAGTAGGAAGAGACAAAGAAACTTACCTTTAGCAGGAAGAGACAAAGAAACTTACCTTTATCAGATAGAGACAACGAAACTTACCTTTAGTAGAAACAGACAAAGAAACTTACCTTTAGTAGGAACAGACAAAGAAACTTACCTTTAGTAGGAAGAGACAAAGAAACTTACCTTTAGTAGGAAGAGACAAAGAAACTTACCTTTAGAAGGAAGAGACAAAGAAACTTACCTTTAGTAGAAAGAGACAAAAAAACTTACCTTTAGTAGGAAGAAACAAAGAAACTTACCTTTAGTAGGAAGAGAAGTATTAGACATATAAGTCCCATGGTCATATCCCAAACTCTGAAACATTCCAACAGTCACATCCCCATCATCATCATATTTCTTACCGACACTTTCAAACTTTATTGAAATACCTCATTCCTTATAATACATTTCATTTTCATGTTAATTTGAGAACAAATTCAGTAAAAACGGTAGCTCCAAGAATCTTCTTATCTTATTCCCTGTGATTCTAACTATGGTGGTCACACTTACTTGGTTTCTGGAAGCTTTCTAAATGTTTCATACACCATATGTGGAAAGTCCCTCGGTATATCAGTCAGCCCAAATATTCCCTGTAAAATCATACATAATAATACAGTTTCATTAAATAGTACTGACACGAAGTATAGACTTAGTCCTTTTCTTTCTAAACACATACCTAGGGTAAACAGAATTTCTACTCACAAAGTTATCTAAAAGTGTTTTTGTTTTATATTACTATAACAAGTACTTATTGATTAGATAGTTATGTCAAATAAGAGGAATATATAATCACCTCTAAATAAAAAAACTAGAATTATAGCAAATCAGGTGGGCCAATTGGGTATATCAATATACACATGATTATCTGATGAGAGTTATCTCCCTTTCTACTGGAAACTTGGGCACTATAATGGCAATATAAGAAATTGTTCCAGTCTTATATCTAAAGCTAACCTTATCCAATTCTCTACATCAACTTATAAATGTGTCTGTCCATTTAGAACAGCAGCCCATACTTTAATCAAATAACACATTCCGTCAAGTTAGATTTTCATGACATACCTTGACTTGACCAAAGCCGATGGTGATGGCTGCAGCTGAAGTAAAGGCATTGATGACAGGGTAGGATATAAAGTTCACTAAAATACCTGTAATATTAATACAAAATATCATTGATGACAGGGTAGGATATAAAGTTCACTAATATACCTGTAATATTAATACAAAATATCATTAGTGACAGGGTAGGATATAAAGTTCACTAAAATACCTGTAATATTAATACAAAATATCATTAGTGACAGGGTAGGATATAAAGTTCACTATTACCTGTAATATTTATACAAAATATCATTGATGACAGGGTAGGATATAAAGTTCACTAATATACCTGTAATATTAATACAAAATATCATTGATGACAGGGTAGGATATTAAGTTCACTATTACCTGTAATATTAATACAAAATATCATTGATGACAGGGTAGGATATAAAGTTCACTATTACCTGTAATATTAATATAAAATCTCTCTGATGACAGGGTAGGATATAAAGTTCACTATTACCTGTAATATTTATATGAAATCTCTCTGATGACAGGGTAGGATATAAAGTTCTCCCAGATATATTAAAATAACCATCAATCCAGCCTTGAATGCCAGTGTTTTCATGTTGTTTCTCAAATGGCTAAAGATTTACAATGAATAATGGGCCACACATTCTTGTATTTTTTTATGTACGTCTTATATTGAAAAAGAAAAGGCAGTTTTCATTTTACCACTATTGACAACTCATACATTTCTGATGAACATAACTAAAGAGCTGTACACCGACAGTTAATAAAAACCATTTTATCCAGTAGACTGTGGTATAAAAACAATAAAATCTTTGTTAAAGGTGCACACAGACACAGATAATAGTTTTTTCCTCAATATTGTTATATTGTAATTTTGTTTTCATCACAATGTCATTCCGTTTAAATGATTATTTTATGTAATACATGTGTACTTCTGGGCCACTGTAAGCTAAATGAAATGTCTCTCTGATTCAGTGATGTTACCAGAAATAGAAGTCACATTTCCGAAATACATGTCAGTCATTTCAGGTGAGTGAATTTGAGATCATATCTGTGGATTTTTTCAGACAAATACTGGTGTTTCAGTGATCAATTTTATTAGATTAATCTTTTCATTTTTGTATTTGTTTAGTTTCAATTCATCGCAGTGATGTGATTCTTATGGCCCGGAAACTAATACGCCAAGGATAAATGAATTTCGAGCAAATATAAAGATGACAACAATTTTCAGTACAGGTGTGCATGAATTACATACCAAGGTTAAGGACGCCCATGAGGAATTGTACACATCCACACAGGAGACAGAGGACTATTGCATAGGTAGGGTCATTCTCCACAGGAGAATAGGCAAATGCAGCTGTCATCAGGGACATTATGGCTGTGGGTCCAAGTGTAATGTCTTTGGCTGTCCCCAGGAAGCAGTACACAAAACAACCCATAAATGCCGAGTACAGGCCATACTGAAACATACAAAAAGGCCATGGCCCTAAACAGTCATCTGACAATCTGACGAGCAACGAATGGATGGACAAACACAGAATTCACTGATGGTGGTCTGATAAATCTTATCAATTAAAATTTTTAACATACCTTGAAAGTATCAGAAACTTATTTGTGGTAGGTTATGTTTATGAAAAACAGTTGTACAATCATGTTACAAAATGACTACTATGGTTACCATGTTGAAGTTTTGATCAGACTGAAAAAAAAATAACATATTACCAATTTCGTTTTTTTTTAGCAAATCAAACACCAAGTGTTTTTCTCAAAAGTCTGAATGAAACTTGAGAAGAAGTTCAGACTATTTGTTCTAGATGAGTCATGTTGGATTTTGGACAAAAGTGAAAAGCACAAGATTTGGTCAGGACAATCTCAGAACCATTTAGTGCACACTTGATATCATTGCCACACCCTAATAAAGTTTCAGGCAAAATTTGGTTAAATTTACCCAGACATTAAGAAGGAGTAGCGTTTTGGAACAAAATATTGTCTAACTTTCCCTTTTCTGGCCCCGCCCCAAAGTTGCTAGGGGTTGAATCAACTTTCTGAATTTTTAAAATGACTCTCCACCCACAATATTTTGTACCACATTTGGTTTAAATTGATTCAAGCCTTAAGATGGAGTCGAGTTTTGAAGTCAAATTATTGACAAATTTTCTCATTTGGGGGCTGTGCCTCCAGGTCTCTAGGTGTGAAATCAACTTGGATTTAAGAAATGATAACCCACCTGCCAAGATGTTTCATATTAAATTTGATTGAAATCTACTCAAGCATAGTCCATAGGGATCAAATCAATTTATTTGAATTTAAGAAATGATACTCCACCCCAATGATGTTTCAGACCAAATTTGGTTGCAATCTGTCAAGATGCTTAGCAGGAGTGGTAATTTAAAGGAAAAGTTGATGGATGGTGCACAGCGCACAGCAGTGGACCATGCATGATTACTCGTCAGGTCAGATGACTTAAAAATTCATCCATTGGAGATCCTGTTTGAAAAGTAACTTCAAAAGTTCATCCAGCATACCAACATAGATGATATGGACTTACATCAAGTATCCTACAACTCCAAGCCAACATCAACACAATAAATTTGAAACTAAAATGTTATTTACATATGACAATTGACACACTGAGATGCTTATAAAGCTGATAAGACATCAAACACTGGCTGAATCTGCTCTATGACTTATCAGACAAGATGTTACCGGAATGTGATTTGGAATTTACAACATAAACTTGATGATATGATATCTTGGACAATGGAGTGCCTACAGATAGTAGAGGAGGGCCAACTGTCATCTCTGCCTCCAATAAACCTCTCTACTAGAAGATGGCACCTGATCTCATACCCCCTCATAAAAACATGCCCCCTACCTGTACAAAGGTAGGCAATGACCTATTAGTTCTTTATAAAGAAAAAGAAGAAATATCCGTAACTGTAAAGTAGAAGATCAAAAGCCAAGAAATCGGTAAACAGATTTACGATTGGTGATGACCCCTGTATAAAGTCTGAACAGCTTACTGACATATGTTTAAAATTTATATATTCTTTGATACAAAGTCTAGTACAACGACCATCATGATTAGTAGACATATTCTCAGGGGATGGCTAACATAAACTTTTCCTGTTGTCAAATTCCTATTGTCTTGATCTTTACCATAAAATTATCTTCCAATGAAACAAGTTAACTTTATTGTCCTATAGTTTGAAATGTATGATCCCTATTTTTTTAATCCAATAGGCTTTACGTCAATATACCTGTGTACGTGGTTATGTTATCTTGATGTATGTAACTCCCACGGGTACCTACCTGTGTGAGTCATGTGTTATCTTGGCATATACCAGCCCCTGAGGTACCTACCTATGTGGGTAGTCGTGCTATCTTGGCGTATACCAGCCCCTGAGGTACCTACCTATGTGGGTAGTCGTGCTATCTTGGCGTATACCAGCACCTGAGGTACCTACCTGTGTGGGTAGTCATGCTATCTTGCATATGGCAGCCCATGAGGTATCTACCTATGTGGGTACTCGTGCTATCTTGGCGTATGCCAGCCCCTGAGGTACCTACCTGTGTGGTTACTCGTGCTATCTTGGCGTATGACAGCCCTTATGGTACCTACCTATGTGGGTACTCGTGCTATCTTGGCGTATGCCAGCCCTTATGGTACCTACCTGTGTGGGTACTCGTGCTATCTTGGCGTATGACAGCCCTTATGGTACCTACCTATGTGGGTACTCGTGCTATCTTGGCGTATGCCAGCACCTAAGGTACCTACCTATGTGGGTACTCATGCTATCTTGGCGTATGCCAGCCCTGAGGTACCTACCTGTGTGGGTACTCGTGCTATCTTGGCATATGACAGCCCTTATGGTACCTACCTATGTGGGTACTCGTGCTATCTTGGCGTATGCCAGCACCTGAGGTACCTACCTATGTGGGTACTCGTGCTATCTTGGCGTATGCCAGCACCTGAGGTACCTACCTATGTGGGTACTCGTGCTATCTTGGCGTATGCCAGCCCCTGAGGTACCTACCTGTGTGGGTACTCGTGCTATCTTGGCGTATGCCAGCCCCTGAGGTACCTACCTGTGTGGGTACTCGTGCTATCTTGGCGTATGACAGCCCTTATGGTACCTACCTATGTGGGTACTCGTGCTATCTTGGCGTATGTCAGCCCTGAGGTACCTACCTGTGTGGGTACTCGTGCTATCTTGGCGTATGCCAGCCCTGAGGTACCTACCTGTGTGGGTACTCATGCTATCTTGGCGTATGACAGCCCTTATGGTACCTACCTATGTAGGTACTCGTGCTATCTTGGCGTATGCCAGCACCTGAGGTACCTACCTATGTGGGTACTCGTGCTATCTTGGCGTATGACAGCCCTGAGGTACCTACCTGTGTGGGTACTCGTGCTATCTTGGCATATGACAGCCCTTATGGTACCTACCTATGTGGGTACTCGTGCTATCTTGGTGTATACCAGCCCCTGAGGTACCTACCTATGTGGGTACTTGTGCTATCTTGGCGTATGACAGCCCTTATGGTACCTACCTATGTGGTTACTCGTGCTATCTTGGCGTATACCAGCCCCTGAGGTACCTACCTGTGTGGGTAGTCGTGCTATCTTGGCGTATGCCAGTCCCTGGGGTATCACTGTCAGTGCCACAGTCAGACCAGCAACCAAATCGCACTGCAAGGTGTGAAGGCTACAATGAGGAAAGACACAATTTCAAAAAAAGGCCTTAGAAGAACCATGCTTACTATATATTTCATTGAATATAGAACAAGAGGCCCATATGGGTAAAGTGTCATTAAGGGGGCAGAGACCCACAGATTATACACAAGTGAGACCCCTTTACTCATGGATACTTCAGACCACATTTTAGCAAAATCCAATCATTTCTTCAGGGGGATAGGACTTAAAGAACATGTTCTATTTCCCTTATTGGGCCAACACACCCCTTCCACCCCAGGGAATGGAGTCCCCTTCACCTAAAAAATGCTTCAGATCAAATTTGTTCAAAATGAAATCATTCTTACAGGAGGATAGGATTTTAAAGTGTTTGCTTAATTCTCTTATTGGACTTCACCCCTCTTGCTACTGGTGGCCAGGACTAACCATTTAAACACAACTGAATTCCCTTCATCAAAAGGTTGCTTCAGACCTAATTTGGGCTGAATCCTATCATTCCTAAAGGAAGAGTAGGATTTTAAAGAATTTGCTCCAATTCACCTATTTGGCCTTGCCCCTCTGGCCACAAGAAGCCAAGACCCACTGTTTATCTAAAATTAATTCCCAACACCCAAGAATACTTGAGATCAAAATTGAGCAAAATCCAATCATTCCTACGGAAGGAATAAGATTTTTTAAAAGTTGCTCTATTTCAACTATTTGGCCCTGTCCCTCTGGGTCCACGGAGCTAAACCCTACCATTTATGCAAAATTTGCTCTTCTTCCCCAAGGATGCTACTGAACAAATTTGGATGAAATCTGCTCAGTTGTTCTTAACTAGAAGCAATTTGTGAAAAAATTAAAGAATGGATGGATGGCTAGACAGACAACGGATGTATGCAGTACGACATAAGCTCACTGGTCCTTCGGACCAGGCAAGCTAACAAAACATAACTATATCAGTTAATCTCCATTGGCAAAACATCACTATATCATTCTCCGTTTGAAAACATAGCTAAAACGTGTATTATCAATCTTCATTAACAAAACCTAACAATATCAATCTTCATTAAGAAAACATTATTTCAACAATTTCCATTTACAGTATAAGGTCTTTATCAAAATGTTTGTGAAAATAAGTTGACATAATGTTGATCTTTAATTAAAAAGAATTTATATTAAAATAAGATTGTTGTTTTATCTATCAACTTGTACATATAAAAATTGAACATCTATATTTTGTGAGCAGCATTTTTTATAAAAAGAGAAATCAATGTGTTTTATTGTATTAAATTACTTCAGAAGGTTGAAATGATTTATCATTGTTTTTTTAATTTTGAAAATAAATTGTAGTTAACTAAATGCGAAAAAAAAGAAGACTTAATTAAGCAATTCATGTTCATGGATCTCCCATCAGACACAATTTTGTTCCTCAAAGCAAAGATGTGTTTAGAAAACTGACAATTTTTTTTTATAAAAATAACGTAATTTTGTATGTAAAAGGATAACTGACCTATCTTGTTGTGGAGTATAATTAAGTGTACAAAGCTCTGCTTCCACTGATACAAGACAAAATGAGTTTGTTGAATGTATGAAATAAGGATTTACCAATAAGTAAAAGAAATGAATACAGCAAAATGAATTAAACAGTAACAAATGTTATCATTTTTCATTAACTTGTGTTGGGATCAAAGTTAAGACTGAGTAAAGTGATGACACTAGGCAGTCATTAACTCAATCATTCTCAAAATTCACCACTTATTAGCCAAGGAAAATAAATATTTATAAGGGATCAAATGAAGGGGGATATTCTTTAGTTATCAATACGAGCTTTGTTAAAAAAACCTCTCCTAAATTTTCTGAGAAACGATACAAATTTTCAATTGTCAATCTAAGATATTAGGTTGAAAATGCACAATGCATTATGCATATTGGACCAAACAGAAATAACTTAAGAAAATTTTAAAACGATCCACCTAAAATTTCATACAAAAAATGATAACAAACTGCTAAAATCCAAAACCATCACTTTGAAAACTTCTGGGTACTTCAGATCAGTCCTAAAATTCAACAGGCACATGTACAACTAAGGATCAAGAAAAAACAATTTCCTTTGTCCTTTTTAACCAATATCAAACTACCATATCAAATTTTGTTACATAGCGACCAACCTTTTTTGCGCTAAAATGACGGCCATAAAGGTTCATTGTAAAATTTCAAAACACATCCTGCATTTCTGCAGACTAAGAACTGTACATGTTTCAGGATGGATGACAGATTTAAGATATAAGGTGACTGCTAACAATCTGAGGATATTTTACTAGTAATAAATAAAAATAAATTACTTACTTATATTTGGGTAGCCAGTTAGTAATTGGAACTCTTTCCTTTAAATTTTCCACAGAACAGCACTTTTTACAGTAGTTTTTGGCTACCATTTTCACAACCTTAGCCACACCCATGCCTGCATGTATGGTGATTCGCGGGGGAGGGGAGCTGTGTGTCCGCCTGTGTGACAGTAACGGCTGACTTTCCTCTGGTTCCATCATGGATATTCATCCTGTATATATACCCAAAGGTCAGAGTTCAATAGGTAAGAAGAAAAAAGGGCAATAAATGAGATACTGAGTGTAACAGATAAGACCTTCAGTCGGTATGGCAGCCCTGAATGTAACAGTAATACCTAATTGTCATCAAACTAAATCCCATACCTGTGAAAATATACCTTGTGATTATCATTGTTTACCATGTCAGGCTGTAGGTCAATGCTCTTTTGGTATACATCAATTAATTAAGTTCCACACATCTCAGACAGGAAGTCAGTGATTAACAAATCTATATCTATATTTATCTGACCAGATAGACAGATCAGATAAAAAAAAGGGACTGAGGAATATTGACTAATTAGTTAAATTGTACATAGTGGCTAAGATGAATGTATTGTTTTAACACCTGTGAATAATCACTTTCACAGGTAATCACGTGTTCTGTTTACCTCTAAGTGTCCTGAGCCACCCTGTGACTGAGTATCCTAGTTAGAATAACTATCCAAAATTATCTTAGACATATTCTAGTATTATTTATATATATATAGAATGTTTAATGAGTTTTATTTCATATGAGATTTTAGAACGTAAGTTTTTATTTTTGTGAGAGTTATATAAGAGTTCTTATAAAACCTCAAATGAAATGAAAACTAATTTAAGATACTTTTTTATCACATAACTCAAGAAAGTTATATTTTCATAGGTTTTAAAGTAATGATGTAGAGGACAAAATCAAAAGGATCGAGGCAACCATCTGCTACATAAAACCTATTCCAAAACAACAAATTTGCATTATACAAATAACATGATCTCCAGGTGCCTAAACAACTTGTCTCCTCTCGTTTTGTTGTATTCAAACTATCAAATATGAAATATGTTTAGCAAAAGAATGAGATAAATGAGGGTAGCAATAAGTGATGATAGCATGTGTATCCGGTACTGGTGTTCTTTTATTTGGACAATGTGTTTGAGGCTCCTAACCCATGGAAATTTGTGTTTGTCAGGAAGCTGAAAAACAGACAGGTCTGTGTCGTGGTTGTATCCTTGGGCAAGACACCCAATTGTTTTAGACGGTATTCAACAGACCTTCAGCACACTTGTAACAAACCTTTTGTAGGTTATTCACTCAGGTAGTCATCAGATACTACAAGGAGAAACTTCGCCTCACTTGCTGTTCATGGGATGATAAACCCCGCAAACCAATTAGGAGGGGGTGGGGAGGGAGCTAACACTTTCCAGTAATACACTGAGGCTCTGACAGACCCAAGGATATTCAAATTTTGTTAGAATCCATGTATCTGTGGTGAAGAAGTAGAATGTCAAATACCTGATTCCTCTTCTAGACCCTCCTTTCATCTAGTTCCAAAACCAGACAGAAAAATTTAAACAGATAAGTTTTCTGATATAGACAAAAGAAATGTATTCATAACAATGTTTTATAGACTATGTGTATGTCAATACAATATATTTACTGATTGATGGTCTCCTTTGAAATCAGACAGCTTTCAAGCTTAAACTGATATATCCCCTTATTATCAGCACTTTAAGTGTTCATTCAGAGCAACAAAGACAAAGGTTATCTTCAATAGTCTAAATCTTCTCCTTCACTCATAAAATTTAGTCATATTTTATATTTAACCTTGGAATTTTAGGACATTTTACAACCTTTAACAATACTGACACCATTTTTTTATGACCAGTTTCAACTACATTTTAACATGTATTGCACATCACCACATCTTACTCAGATATCAACATTAATAATTAATTGTTTACATGAAGGTTACTAAGATAACCTCTTCACATCTCACAATGATCTAGAGTGTGTAAAGCATCCGGTTCTGCAATATTACGTATCCATGTCAGATATAATGAAAGTCATAAATATACCACAAAAAGAGAGAGATGAGTTATTAACCTACTCTATGGGTTTGTAAATATGAAGTAGACTTTTGGCAAAGACCTGAAACAAATGTTAGAAAATTCAGCTGGAAGGATTAAACAATATAACAAAATAAACAAATCGTCAATATGTTTCAAGTACCTTCAAAAGAACGCAGGAGAGATATATCTGAACGGACCACAGATAAATCAAGACAGGAATTACAGCTGTCAAATATCAATATCAGACCTACTTATAACATAGTAGATCCATAACGGAAAGGACTAATGATACCCTGTTCTCGCCAGGGTTCGGACTAGCGACCCTTTGGTCTCGTGCTGGACACCATGTAGCTTGAGTAAAGGGTACTTCCCATTTGCTGTGCCTAGTAAGGTGACCTGTACTCTCTCCTTCTACAGAGCTATCAGTTTTTAAAACCAGTCATCATATAACAAATGAAAATAAAAAAGATATTGATTTGAAAATCATTACAATAAACTAAAACTAAAATAGCTTTGAACTTACCACTGAGTGAGTATCAATGTTAAAGTGAGTATTATTCTGTAAGTTTGACTAATGATGACTGTCGTCAGCTCTCGGTCATCTGTAGATCCAGTTTAAAAGACATGGTCTCATCTATGTGCAGGCTTCCTCTGTAACAAATGTATGAAATAGAGAAAATTGTGTCTTGTCAAGCTTGAATTTAACCCCAGAAATTGTTTTAAATTTTATGCAAACTATCAACTTTGTGACTGTGAAGTCAGAATTTCAAGAAATTTTACAAAATCTGTACTATGAAAGTTTACAAGCAGCTGTTTGCCTGAGTCATCACAAGTGTACACTTAGTGTAACAGACTGCTCTTCATAATCAGTGTGATCACCAATCAATACAACATCACATACTGTCACTTAAAACATCGTCAACATGTCGCTACTTAAAACATCCTCAACATGTCCTTACTTAAAACATCGTCAACATGTCCTTACTTAAAACATCGTCAACATGTCCTTACTTAAAACATCCTCAACATGTCGCTACTTAAAACATCCTCAACATGTCCTTACTTAAAACATCGTCAACATGTCCTTACTTCAAACATCGTCAACATGTCCTTACTTAAAACATCGTCAACATGTCCTTACTTAAAACATCATCAACATGTCCTTACTTAAAACACTGTCAACATGTCGTCACTTAAAACATCCTCAACATGTCCTTACTTAAAACATCGTCAACATGTCGTTACTTAAAACATCCTCAACATGTCCTTACTTAAAACATCGTCAACATGTCCTTACTTAAAACATCATCAACATGTCCTTACTTAAAACACTATCAACATGTCGTCACTTAAAACATCGTCAACATGTCCTTACTTAAAACATCATCAACATGTCCTTACTTAAAACATTGTCAACATGTCCTTACTTAAAACATCGTCAACATGTCCTTACTTAAAACATCGTCAACATGTCCTTACTTAAAACATTGTCAACATGTCCTTACTTAAAACACTGTCAACATGTTGTCACTTAAAACATCCTCAACATGTCCTTACTTAAAACATCATCAACATGTCCTTACTTTAAACATTGTCAACATGTCCTTACTTAAAACATCGTCAACATGTCCTTACTTAAAACATTGTCAACATGTCCTTACTTAAAACATTGTCAACATGTCCTTACTTAAAACACTGTCAACATGTCGTCACTTAAAACATCCTCAACATGTCCTTACTTAAAACATTGTCAACATGTCCTTACTTAAAACATCCTCAACATGTCCTTACTTAAAACATCGTCAACATGTCCTTACTTAAAACATCGTCAACATGTCCTTACTTAAAACATTGTCAACATGTCCTTACTTAAAACACTGTCAACATGTCGTCACTTAAAACATCCTCAACATGTCCTTACTTAAAACATCGTCAACATGTCCTTACTTAAAACATTGTCAACATGTCCTTACTTAAAACATCATCAACATGTCCTTACTTAAAACATCGTCAATATGTCCTTACTTAAAACATCGTCAACATGTCGTTACTTAAAACATCCTCAACATGTCCTTACTTAAAACATCGTCAATATGTCGTTACTTAAAACATCCTCAACATGTCCTTACTTAAAACATCGTCAATATGTCGTTACTTAAAACATCCTCAACATGTCCTTACTTAAAACATCGTCAACATGTCCTTACTTAAAACATCGTCAACATGTCATCACTTAAAACATTGTCAACATGTCCTTACTTAAAGCATCGTCAACATGTCCTTACTTAAAACATTGTCAACATGTCCTTACTTAAAACATCGTCAACATGTCCTTACTTAAAACATCGTCAACATGTCCTTACTTAAAACATCGTCAATACGTCCTTACTTAAAACATCGTCAGCATGTCGTTACTTAAAACATCCTCAACATGTCCTTACTTAAAACATCGTCAACATGTCCTTACTTAAAACATTGTCAACATGTCCTTACTTAAAACATTGTCAACATGTCGTCACTTAAAACATCGTCAACATGTCCTTACTTAAAACATCATCAACATGTCCTTACTTAAAACATCGTCAGCATGTCGTTACTTAAAACATCCTCAACATGTCCTTACTTAAAACATTGTCAACATGTCGTTACTTAAAACATCCTCAACATGTCCTTACTTAAAACATCCTCAACATGTCCTTACTTAAAACATCATCAACATGTCGTTACAAAGTCAAATCTGACTTCAAGAGTACGCTAAATTGTTGATTTTTTTCTGTTTTCCATATTTGTTATATCAGATCCCCTTCAATCTCTGATTAAATAGAATACCTCCGATTCACACACTTCCAGTTCACACTTACTGATGGCAAAGTCTCAAGCATTTCACTTATATATGTTAACAGGAAGCAAAAGAGCTTTCACGTACTTTTTGTTCATATAATTTTTAATTTCCACAGCAATGCTTCAAATCAAAATAGAACTGGTCTTTTAAATACAGGCCTTAACTTCCTTTTCAATCCACCCACTTCCCTATAAGAAAAATAACCATCGACCATTTAAATAATCATATATTTCCTTATAATATGTAAGGTTGAATTCTTTTGAATATTTATTCAACTAGTATCAACACTTTAAGGCACTGTTAATCACATGGACAGATCACTTCTCATGTAACCTTCTCTTTATCTAATGGCTAGATCTTAAGTCAATATAACCCTATATCCTTCCCAGGGTTACATCAGACTCACAATTACCTCTAACTCAACAAATGGCTACACTTAACATAACTCATATCCATCACGTCTTCAACAAGTTCAATATTACATCCAGTTCATCAAATGGTCACATCACACTCAATGACCAATTCATTAACAAGGCTTCATCAGATTCAAAATAATTTATCCATCACAAATCTACATCAGACTCAATGTAATCTCTTATTCATCACAGGGCTAAATTAGACTCAATATTATAACCTCTTTCTTGTCACAGAGCTACATTAGACTCAATATTATAACCTCTTTCTTGTCACAGGGCTACATTAGACTCAATATCATAACCTCTTTCTTGTCACAGGGCTACATTAGACTCAATATTATAACCTCTTTCTTGTCACAGGGCTACATTAGACTCAATATTATAACCTCTTTCTTGTCACAGGGCTTCATTAGACTCAATATTATAACCTCTTTCTTGTCACAGAGCTACATTAGACTCAATATTATAACCTCTTTCTTGTCACAGGGCTATGTAAAACTCAATATTATAACCTCTTTATTGTCACAGAGCTACATTAGACTCAATATTATAACCTCTTTCTTGTCACAGAGCTACATTAGACTCAATATTATAACCTCTTTCTTGTCACAGAGATACATTAGACTAAATATTACCTCTTTCTTGTCACAGAGCTACATTAGACTCAATATTATAACCTCTTTCTTGTCACAGGGCTACATTAGACTCAATATTATAACCTCTTTCTTGTCACAGAGCTACATTAGACTAAATATTACCTCTTTCTTGTCACAGAGCTACATTAGACTCAATATTATAACCTCTTTCTTGTCACAGAGCTACATTAGACTCAATATTATAACCTCTTTCTTGTCACAGGGCTACATTAGACTCAATATCATAACCTCTTTCTTGTCACAGGGCTATGTAAAACTCAATATTATAACCTCTTTCTTGTCACAGGGCTACATTAGACTCAATATCATAACCTCTTTCTTGTCACAGGGCTACATTAGACTCAATATTATAACCTCTTTCTTGTCACAGGGCTACATTAGACTCAATTTTATAACCTCTTTCTTGTTACAGGGCTACATTAGACTCAATATTATAACCTCTTTCTTGTCACAGGGCTATGTAAAACTCAATATTATAACCTCTTTCTTGTCACAGAGCTACATTAGACTCAATATTATAACCTCTTTCTTGTCACAGAGCTACATTAGACTCAATATTATAACCTCTTTCTTGTCACAGAGATACATTAGACTAAATATTACCTCTTTCTTGTCACAGAGCTACATTAGACTCAATATTATAACCTCTTTCTTGTCACAGAGCTACATTAGACTCAATATTATAACCTCTTTCTTGTCACAGGGCTACATTAGACTCAATATCATAACCTCTTTCTTGTCACAGGGCTACATTAGACTCAATATTATAACCTCTTTCTTGTCACAGGGCTACATTAGACTCAATATTATAACCTCTTTCTTGTCACAGGGCTTCATTAGACTCAATATTATAACCTCTTTCTTGTCACAGAGCTACATTAGACTCAATATTATAACCTCTTTCTTGTCACAGGGCTATGTAAAACTCAATATTATAACCTCTTTATTGTCACAGAGCTACATTAGACTCAATATTATAACCTCTTTCTTGTCACAGAGCTACATTAGACTCAATATTATAACCTCTTTCTTGTCACAGAGATACATTAGACTAAATATTACCTCTTTCTTGTCACAGAGCTACATTAGACTCAATATTATAACCTCTTTCTTGTCACAGGGCTACATTAGACTCAATATTATAACCTCTTTCTTGTCACAGAGCTACATTAGACTAAATATTACCTCTTTCTTGTCACAGAGCTACATTAGACTCAATATTATAACCTCTTTCTTGTCACAGAGCTACATTAGACTCAATATTATAACCTCTTTCTTGTCACAGGGCTACATTAGACTCAATATCATAACCTCTTTCTTGTCACAGGGCTATGTAAAACTCAATATTATAACCTCTTTCTTGTCACAGGGCTACATTAGACTCAATATCATAACCTCTTTCTTGTCACAGGGCTACATTAGACTCAATATTATAACCTCTTTCTTGTCACAGGGCTACATTAGACTCAATTTTATAACCTCTTTCTTGTTACAGGGCTACATTAGACTCAATATTATAACCTCTTTCTTGTCACAGGGCTATGTAAAACTCAATATTATAACCTCTTTCTTGTCACAGAGCTACATTAGACTCAATATTATAACCTCTTTCTTGTCACAGAGCTACATTAGACTCAATATTATAACCTCTTTCTTGTCACAGAGATACATTAGACTAAATATTACCTCTTTCTTGTCACAGAGCTACATTAGACTCAATATTATAACCTCTTTCTT